GCTCTCCTACAAACACACAAAATAAACTGTGTTTTTAAGTTCCACCTTTGAAAATTTGATTTCCGAAAATTTCTGTGATCAATGATTTTTTTAAACGTCTGAACCTTCGATCTCCGGAAATCCGGATTTTTTCCAGAGCACAATCAGCCCTGATAATTTTATATCTAGAATGGGTAATTCTAGTTGCAGAGCTTGACGTAGTTTCAGTTGCAGATGACAGTATTTTTTTCTTTCTTCTTAAGAATTGTCTTTATCGTTAAAGTTGCCAAATTCAATGCAGCACTAATTTGAGATTGACGTTCACCAGAATCGAATCTTCCAATCACTTGCATTTTAGTTTCCAGTGAAATGCTTTTTCTGGTTGCTTTCTTTTCTTGCTTTTCACTATCACCCACGATAAAAACTAAAGATCATAATATTTGTCACTGTATTAATTGTTATAGTAATATATAAATTTATATGTACTTACAATAATGTCAACAAATGTTTCAAATGATAAAAATGCGTCCGTACAGCACCGCACCGAACCAGAAACACAACTACACTGTTTCGGATATGTTATGTACATATTTGGGGGAGTCCCCGCGCACAATTTCGGGGAATCCCCGGGTTGAAATAAAAGAGCGCTAAACAGAAACAGCGCTAAACCGAAACAGCGTTAAGCGGGGTCTTACTGTATATTAACATCAATGTAATATATTAACAACAATATAAATAAACTCATATTTAAGCAATATTTTCTTAAATTTAATCATTTTAAAAATGGAATAAAAAACTACTTTTTTTTCATTTATTTTTTAAAAAAATATGGGAAAAAATTTTGAAAAAATTCTAAATTTTTATATCCAATAAAAAAATTTCCATTGAAAAAATAATAATCACTATACATTAAAAGGAGACAAAAATGTTTTTTACTGTATTATTAGCCTATAAAAAATTTTTCTGGGAACCGGAAAAATGATAATAATAGCTTTATTTATTACCTGCATAAAATTAAACAATCTTTTTGTAGCAGACAATATTTACCGATTTGCCTTTTACTTCTATTTAGTGGCATAGCTAGCAGTGAACAAGAAAGAGCAGATGTCCGGTCGTAGCATAAAAGATTGGCCAAATTTTTGGGAAAAAATTTAATATGAATTCTAGAATAAATTTTTATCTCCAGTTTCATTGACCAATTACAGGCCCAATAAATAACTAATAATTTTTATCCTATTCACCAAAAAATTTAATAGGGTGTGAGTTATTGTAGTTTGCTATGCAAGTAGGTTTAAAAATTTTTTTACAATTTTTTTTTTTTATTCAAAAAAAATAATAAATAAATAAATAGGTAACTACAGAATGTTCTGAAAAAAAATTTCTCTCTCTAAATACATACACAAAATGATTGATTTAAAATGTTCTAAATGAAGTTAAATTGTTACTAAAAAAAATTAAAACTGAGATACTTACCTCAAATAAATAAATAAAATAAAATTAAAAAAATATATTAAAACTTCGTTGATCAATTTTAAGTTAAAATATAAATAACTCAAAGTACAGCAAATTTTATTAGGTTACTGAGGTGAAATACATTATTGTAAATTAACCTTAAGGAATATTTATATTGTTTCTCTTCATATTTTACTTCATTTTATAAAGAAAAAGTGAAATATGAGATGAAAATAAATAAAAACAAATGTAATTAAAAGAAAAGCAGTGGTGTCTGAGTGGTGTGTAGAAATAATTAATTATTAATTTACAATAAAAATATTTATTATTATCAAAATCTTGCTTTAAACAGAAAAAATAATGTGATTATATGAAATCCTAGTGCTACAGTACAATTAATTATTTATTTTGGTGTCGCACGTAAAACATCAAAAGTGTATCTTGAGAATTTTTTTCGTAAATCAAAATGAGAACTGTTTCTACATATTTGTGCTGTTTTGTTATAGTTTACTTTAATTATTATTCTTTCCGTTTTCTATTATTAGTGTGAAATTTAAAAAAAAAACTGTACTTTATTACAGATTCCCTTACCAAGGTTGAAAATTTCAAATGATGTAAACCTTCATTTAACAGCCTATAACTTAATGAAAACTGATATTTATAAGTTAAAAATCATTATTTTTAAATCTTCAATTTTCTACCTCGGAAATCATACCTAGTTTACTTAATATTGAGTTTAAAATATTGGTCATCTAGTTGCCCAACTTGAAATCTGTCTCTGTACAGTGCAGAACAAAAAAAAACAAAGTTTTGTTTTCCTTCTTTCTAATAAACAGATATAAATTAATTTTTTTCCATTCTAAGTTTATAAATTTTTTAACATAATTTCCATACATTCCCTTGTCAGCCTTTAAGAGTAAAAGGAGAAACAATTTTGGAAATATCATAAATGCAATAATTGTAACAATTTTGCTATAAATGATTCATTGGCTTTGTTGAGAAAAAATAATTCATTGGACAAAAGCTTTGAGAAAAAGAGTGCAAGATAAAATCTCTAATTGAATTATAACCAATTATTTTATGGAGAATTTTATAAAGTTAAAAATAGTTAAAAATACTAAAACATTTTGAATAATTAGGTTAAAAGAAAAAATACCCGCAAAGCATCGAAACAAACTTGAACAATTAATGAATTCAGTCCACAGACTAAAAGATTTTTTAAAAAAAAAAATATCTACTTTTATAAACCGAATCAAATATCCTAATCCTTTCTTCTACATTTTTGCCTTTCCTAAACTGCATAACCTCAAAAGAGGTCAAAGATTTCTCCATTCATTTCCCAACATGGAAGAGTTTGAAATGACATTCTAGTTTAGCAGGGTAATAATGAAGAGAATTTTAATGCAAGATAAGTATTGCTGAGTTGATGATATTTAAACTTCTTTACGATAAATTTACATCTAAATAAAAGCGAATATAACGGTGGTAAAGTAATTGAAATTAAGTGAAAAATTCCAGCTTTTCTTTGAAATTCCCTGATTTTTCCAGGTTTTCCAGGTGGGTGGCCACCCTGTTCTTTGTCTTCTAGTTTTATTCAAAATTACAAGGAGACAGAGTTAAGCATTGATATTCCTAAAACCAAATATGTGTCAGCTGTGCACACACTACCCCCCCCCCACACACACACACTGGTTATAAAATAATGTAAAATTATTGTTATAAATTCAGTTGGAAGAAAAACTAATAATGTCATTATTAACAATTGTCTCACGGTATTTCACTCATAATGTGAACTGCCTAGAACTACAAGATTATAGTGAATCAAAACACACACACATCATGATATGGCCAAGCATCTACACAAGTTTTTGTGGGCACCATCTTTTACTATTTTACCTACGTTGAAAGAAGAAGAGGTAAAATACTGCAAAATTTTTGACAACGGTCAGGTAAAGTAGGCATCTTCTCTCTCCTCTCTCTTAACTTCTACACAGGAGCCGTTGTGGCACAGGGGATAGAGCCTTCACCTTCCAATGAGATGAACCGGGTTGGAATCCCAGCGATGACAGATTGATACGAATTCCGCAGCTGGCTCACACCAACCACAACCACAGTGCTGACATAAAATATCTTCAGTGGTTGACAGATCATGAGTTAAGAGTCCCTTTCCCATCAGACTAACAGTGTGAAATTTCCGTGGTTTCTTTGTGAATGAGGGTTAGTTCTGTCAAAAAGTCCTTCTCGAAAACTAGTTTGTCCCAATGCTTGAACTAGGAGCCATCTTTAGGCTTGGATTCAAAATTACAAGACTACGAAGTTAACATTGATAGCTGTAAACTCAGAATTGGATAAAATGAAAAACATTTATCTATTTATTCATGCATGAAATTCTGTTTGTTTTTTTCAATTTATGTATATCACGGTCCTGCAAAAATATCTGAATTCACAAAGGGAAATAATGAAGTTTGGGTTCAGTACAATATTCTTGCTGGGTGTTTAAAAAAAAAATGTAAGTGAAATATCCTCAGTGGTAGACGGATCATAGGTTAGAGTCCTTTTGCCATCAGGCTAATTGTGGAAGGTTCCTCTCCATACAACGCAAATGCGGGGAAGTTCCATCAAAAAGTCATCCATGAATCAAATTTCTCCTAATACTTGATTCAGGAGTTCCCTTGTCTTCTGGATTAGGTTCAAAACTACAAGGCTACGGAGTTAAACAATCATAAGTAGTCGTAAACCCAAAAATTGGATCAGCCCGTTTGACGGCGGTTAAATAATTAAATGACTTCCACACCACAACTGACAAAAAAACGTTCACCCAATATAGATCGAACATACACCTCACAGCACGCGCATGTCGAGCATTCGGTCGGCCGCCAGGGTCGAACTCGTGATCTTCGGCACCCCACCACTAGTAACGGGGATGCCTAAATCGACGCATTCATTACAAACATCAAATGGTATGCATACCTAGCCATTTTATCCATCAAATTAACCAACTGAATAGCTTCGTGTTCCTTCTGCTCCTCTGTCATATTTTCCAGTGGATTAGGTAGTGGCTCCTGGTAACACCCCAATACTGGATTGATTCTAGAAATAATTAATTATTATGCTTGTAAAAATTATTTGATCAAATGATTTTTTTTAATTAATAAATAGATATCTTAGGTTCAAATGCAACTCAATATACTTTTAGATACTTGATTACTTTATTTTTTTTTCAAAGTCTCTTGCCCTGGGATCTTTGTGAATGATTATTGACCTCGCCATTTTGACTTTTAACCAAAATTATCCTTTAACATCTAGATATTATTTCAAGAACAAAATGAAATGGCTAAATCATTTTTCTTCTTTATTTCCCACCTTTTAATTTTAAGATAAGTAATGTCTTTGCTAAATTTCACGTGTTCATGCTTTTTTACCTCGATTGATAAATTTCTGTAAATTATATTCCCAGTTTCTAATGAAAAAATACCTAATGACACCAAATATCTAAAATTATTGCCTAATTATTCGGCCATCAAAAAGAAAACCTATAAATATATTACTAGTACTACATTACCAACTTAGTTGTACTAATTGTTTAAAATAGCAATTCATACTTCTTAAAAATCATAATTATAAAATTTGTTATTTAACCTCCATGTACAGCTCTTGCAATTCGAGCGGGGTATCAGTTTCATCTCAGATTACAGGGTCACATAAATATTGTGGGTAGAGAATTTTTTCCCATTGTTTCAATACTGATCCCACAATTTTCCTGTGTAGGTTTTAAAAAAAAAAATTGATGCTTATTTTCGCTGCTAGATGGCACTAGAGTGTTCAGGATTTCTTTTTTCTCTTGCTTGATTTTTCTCTCACATATTTGTGAGTTTGCATACTTTTTTCTTTTCTTTCGAGTGATAAGCATTTATGAAAGATACGCATTTGCCGAGTATTGACTGCGTTATATGTCAGAAAAACAAACTAAAATCGAGACAAAATATTTCAAAATTGTATTCATTTGAAAATAAAAATATTGCATGAATTTTTTTTCACTTATAAACCCTGCCTGCTGAAATAGCGGGCAGCATATTATATATTTTTTGAAAACGCAAAAGCTAATAAAATTCTTGTATTATTTTAATCTTATACATATGGATAACCACCAGCTAAATTTACCTTTCTATATAAAAAAGAAAAGTTATTTTGCTATTATCAGCAAAATATATTATCTATGTGTGTTACAATTCACATCTGATGAAGATGTGAATTGTAACACACGTAGATAAAGAAAATACAACAAAAAATCTCCCCATATTTCAGGACTGGAAAGAATAAAAAATGAGCCATACGCTTAATATAGCTTAAACTAAATTTAACTTTTTTTTTAAATAAATGATTTGATAGGAACATTTTTCACTACATCTCTGAAAAAGAGTTGACATCTTGATATTCAACTTTCATTAAAGTCCAGTCCAACTTACTTATCTTTCATTTTTAGATATTCTTCAGTATCACTGTCTTCTGATTCACTAGAATATATATTTCGTCCTCGACCCCCAAACATGAGTCCACGATTAGCGAGTAATCCTGCAGCATTGCCATATCCTGTATATTTCACCAAACGATCCACTGCACAATATTAGGAGAGAAAAATAAAAATCACTTATAAATTCTTTTTTCAAATAAATATAACATAATTTATAGAATGCACAAAATCATTATAAATTTTTTTTATATATTATTAGAACAGGGTTGCCACTCAAATCTGGAAAAAAAATTCCCGTGTTTACCTTGCACATATTAAACACAATATATTAAAAAGAAACACAATTATTGTGCTCCTGTTAATAACAGCCTTAATAATAGTTATTTAATAATACTCAAAAAAATTTGAATTGCAAGGTAAATTTCTTACATTTTTTTAAAGAATGTCATTTTATACGACAAAATTTGGGTTGGCCGAATAGTTACTGAGAAATCGAAAGTGAATACTCATCTCAGAAACTATTTGACCGGCATTGTGCAAATTTTGTAATATAAAATTACATTCTGTAAAATGATAAAAATTTGCACGTCTTACAATTCAATTTTTTTAACTATTATTAAACAGAATAATAAATTATTAAATAATATTTTTTGCATAGAATTATCCTTAAATAAAAGTATTTCATAATTTTAGGCGAAAATATTTTGATTCGCTTAAAAATTCCCAAGATATGGCAAAATATACAAAAAGTAAAATTAAGAAGTCTAAACTTTGAACCGCTCTCAAATTAAAGTTACCCCCCATTTTTTGAAGGTCACAAATCAAAATATGTTCATTAAACAGGGTTGCCACCCAATATGGGGCAATTTATAAGTACAGATTTTAAAGTGCCATCCTCGCCCCTATTTTATATAAAATACATACATATTATAATTACAGGGTTGCCGCTCAAATATGGAAAAAAAATTCCCTGCGTTTTCCCTGTTTATATTATACATAATATATTAAGAGGAAACAACAATTACTGTGCTCTTCTGTGAGCTATATTGGGCTAACTATATTTATTAGATTTAATTGCTGGAAAAACTTTGATAAAAAAAAAGGAACAGCTGAACATACTTAAATAATGCTATAGTAAATGAAATAGTTTGAAATACCACACTTAAACATCCTGTAGATTATGCATTGAGTGATCATCATTTCTTGAAAGTTCCTGTATTTTCCCAGTTTCCCCAGAAGAAAGTCCTGTGTTGTCCCAGTTTGTTTGGTCTGTTGAAGTGGTTTGTAAAAAATCAAAATTCCTTGCATTTTCCCTGTAATTTTAGGTGATTTTTAACTTTCCTGTATTTTCCCTATTCTCCCTGCGGAGTGGCAACCCTACAGAAGGAACAGTAATTAGCTTTAGCCCACAAACAATTTTCATGTGAGGGTTAAAGCTGCAAGTTGGAGTTACTGTAACACTAATTCACATATAGCAGCCCATATGCCCAATGTAAAAATTTCAATTTTTAAAATCAGATAAATGAAGAACGCAACTGTATAGCAGTAACAACATTACTCAAAAAGTTATTTTTGGATTGTATGACATAAAATTGATTACATAATCTTAAGTTTTACATGATAGTCAAATTAAAAAATACAATCTGTTATATAGTTAATGACAAAAATTGTATTTTGAAACTACATTACTTAAAATAACATAAAATTTATGGTATCCTTAAAATTGTAAGATGTTTTTTCATTTATTATATTAAAACAAATAATAAAAACTAATGCTGTTTTAGATACTTTTGGACAAATTTAATTTTCCTTGCACTACTGAACAAGACAACAACAACAATAAAAACTAATAAATAATTATTTGAAAAAAAATTTATGAACAGAAGCACACAGTTTTTGAATCATTCAATTAGATCTAGAAATTCAAATATTTCTTAAAAGCAAAAATAAGAATCATAAAGGGGCACAAATTTTTGAAATTAACCAGGGTGCGTAGAAAAATCTTTAAAAAAAATAATAAGCACATTTTAAGTACTTTTCAAGCACTGAAAAAATATTTTTAAGCACTATATGCATTAACAAAATGCAAAATAATTTTTAAACACTTTACATGATTATGATAAAATAACTAGTCTCTTTTCTTGATTATATTAGCCATTATGAAATGATCGAGATATTTTTTCGGTTTGGTATCAGAGGGTGGAAATTGAAACCTGAAATTGAGAATATCTTGTAAAATGCAGATATTCGTATCGCATTATTGCACATGAAAGTGCAATAATCTTACAGAACCCAGCTCAGTAGATGCTCAAACGGACTCGCAAGTATTTCATCAAACATGTAAAATGATTGGCACTATCATACATTACGTACCGATGGCACGCCAAAATGGATTGTGGTTGAATGAATTGTGAAAACGTGGAATAAGACATTAAGAAAACCATGCTTTTGCATAATATTCAGCGAAAATCTACATTGTAAAGAAAAAAAACTCATTTTCGAAAAGGGAAAATTAAGCACTTTTTAAAAACACCATGAAAAAAGCACCATTAAGGGCTTTTAAAGATCGAAAATGAGCAACTTTCTGCATTTTTTAAAAACGCTATGCACCACATTAATTATTCAGACTATATTTTCAAGATAGTAATCACCCCTTTCACATTTTGAGGGTCAAAAATCTAAATCCATAAAAAAAAAAAAAAATTAAAAAAAAATTCTGCTTGAAGAAAGTTTGTCTTTGTGTCATATTTTTTCCACTTAGATTATGATTTCTATTAGCTAATAACTTTAAAAATTAAAATATCATCCTAGTTTCAGTATATTTGAAGCAATACATACATATATATATATACAGTCAAACCTCTAGGAAACACAACCTCCTCTATTTACGACCATTATTGGGAGCCATGAAATTTTTTCCATAGACTTTGCATTGAAGTAAACCTTTAGGAGAGACCATTAAAATCTCTCCCAGCGACTTAGAAAACATCTGAACCGAATGCAGAAAAGATCAAATAAGGAAACATGAAAATATTAACAAAATAAATAATTAGATAAAAAGGTTCTTTTTTATTGACAATCCCTGAAAGAGATCTAAAATCACATGCAGCAGTCAAAGTGCACTAAAGACAATGCTATAAATCATTTATTTTTAGAGTTGAAAGTTAAATTAGAAAAAACTAAGCATCTCAAAAAAACAAACATTTTCTTCATTTCTCATAAAAACAAACATTTTCTTCATTTTTTAATAAATTTCATGATATAAAATTAAATGCAAACTTAAACAAAAAACATAACTGCTTATTTATTTAAAATAGTTCCATCATTCATTGGTAAATTTGCAGATTGGGTAGCCGAATTTCGCAACAAAAAATAAGCATCTTTTAAGCACTCAAAAATATTTTAAGCACTTTTAAAAAATATCATATTTAGGATATGTGCAGTAATAATTTTTTTCTTATTGTTGAAAGTTTTTCATACATCCACTAACAAAATGCAAAATAATTTTCAATAATTTTCATGATTATAATAAAATAACTAGTTTCAGATAAAGAACTCTTCTCTTGACTATATTAGCCACCATAAAAAAAATTTGAAATATAACTATTATTTAAAAAGTTATCGAGTGTATTTTCAGATTTAAAGTAAAGTTGTTTATAAAAAACAAAATCTTAAGAAGATTAATATTATTGATCATACTGAATTTATAGATATGTAAAGAACTAACCCAACGAAGAAAGCTTTAATAAATTCATATTACAAATGTAAATCGGTGAATGACCCGCAACAAATTTTATTAAAATTTGTTACTTGGTTAAGTATTTCTTTAGAAAAAAAAATTATGATTAAAAACTTTTTTAAATAATTTTGAAATGTAAATACAATGAGTATTGAACCTAAATATTTATTTCCCAAGTCAATTAGTGGTTTCTACACTCTTAATATTTAACAAATCTGACATAATTGAATTTTTAATTTCAATTGTTTTTAGATCAAATCATTAAGATATGAGAGAAAGCTTTTGTGGCATTTAAATTTTGGCTAAATTTTGTGGCATATTTTGCTGCATTTAAAATATTGAAAGCAACTTACTTCATAAATTTTTAAAATCTTTCCTCGAAATATTATTAAATTTTTTCACAAACTGAAAATTTTTAAAAAAATTGCAATTAGTGGACGGTCCCACAGGTAAAAAGTCTTACATTTAAAAATCTCAATTAATTCTTATCTTTATTAAATTAAATGAACAAAAGGGAATTTTGAGGTGATGAAGCTTAATGTTTTTCCACTGCTTTGGGGAACTACAAGAAAATATGTAATTTGTCAAATGATCGCCAAGTCAAGTTTAAAGATTGTGGTACTATTAATCTTTGTGACAATGAAATAGCGCAAAAAGGTCATTAGCTTGCCAGTGACAAAGAAAATGGCGCTTCACCAATGATGAAATTAACAAGAGAAATAAAATTTTCTTTTGCTATAAGGGGGGAAAAAATTGGCAATACAGTAGAGCGCTGATTATCCGAACTGCTCTGGACCGAATGTGGTTCGGATAATGAAAAGTTCGGATAGTTGGAAAGTTGCTTAAAATCTAGTTTAAATGATTATTATTTATGCACTAACTTCCCTTTTCTCACTTTTTCCAGGCTTAGAAATGGCAGTACTATTTAAAATAGCTCTGCGTGTTTAAAAGTTTTGTTCTGCAATTTTTAAATCGTTTTTATCTATTTATTTTCCTTTTCTTTTTTTACTTTTTTTTCATTTTGAATTTTTTTATCATATTTCAGCTTTTTATAATTTTTTTTGTCAATTACTGATTTAAACCTTTTCTGTTCATTGCAAAAGAAATCCAGCAAAGACTTTTGTTTCAAAGAAGATGCTCTTTTTTTGAGCAGCCCTTATTCTTTTTAAATAAATCAACTAAACTGGATCAACATTGTTTTGACTGTCAAAATGAAGCTCATATTTTTGAAAAATAATTTTCAGTTGAAGAGGGCTAAAAGGGTACGTAGGTTTAACTGTATAACAATACATACAGTGGTGGCCAAAAGTGTGGACATGTTTTGAAAGTTTCATATTTTTCAACTTTGTGTGCTTGTAGAATATATTAATTTCACTTAAATACAAACATTCATATATCAAATTGAAGGTCATTTAATGTAGAATTTAATAATAAATACAGTATTACAATATCTGTATTACAAAAAAAGTTATGCAACTAATAGTAAGATCTATCTTAGATTTGCATTTTTTTAAAGTGATACTTACACAATCAATACTTAGTAGGATAACCCTTATTTTTTAAGACAGCTTCACAGCGTCTTTTCATCGAGTGAACGAGTGTTTGGAGTTTATCTTTCGTAATCACATGGTGCCAAGAATCAATTATAGCTTCAATAAGTTGTCTTTTATTGGATGGACGTTCTTTTTCATACAAGAATTTTCAAACATTGCCACAAATTTTCAACTGGATTGAGATCAGGGCTGTTTCCTGGCCAGGTAATATATCTATGCCTTTATTTTGAAACCATACTTTGCATACTTTTGCTGTGTGGCATGGAGCTAAATCCTGCTGAAAAATAAATGGTGCGTTGTTGGGAAAGAGATCCCTGATGGAAGGTATCAATTTAGGTTTCAGGACAGTATTTTTTGGCATTCAGCATGCCATCAATCACTTGAATTTGGCCCACACCATCTGCAGACATACATACACTCACATATTTTCTACCATCACTACCAAAGAGCGATATTTTACTCTCATCGCTCCAAATTACTTACTTCCATTGATTTTCTGACCATATAATGTGTTCTTTTGCCCACTTAACTCGTTTTTCGCGTTTATTTAATATAGCGTTTATTTAATATAGTTTTTTCCTCGCTACCTTCTTCTAATAACCTTCTTCTTAATGTTCTTAAACTTACTGCAATACACGCTGCATTCATTTCACATCTAATGGCATCTGATGAAATTTTTCTATCTTGAAGGCATAGCCGTTTAATTTTTCTATCGGCAGTAGCACTTGTGAATTTTTTGTGTGCCTGATTTGGCTTTATTTTCCACTGATTTGTTTTTTCATAACATAAACAGAACTTTTGTACACCATAACATGTCACTGAACCACCAACTTGTCTTGCAATTTCAGCATAAGAGGTCATTTTCTCTCAATATGACAATTCAGCTTCTTTTTGTAGATGTCCAATTAGTTCTTATTGATGACATTGTTTAAAATTAGTTTAATTAAAAAAAAAGGACTTTAAATATTCAAAAACAGCAATACTCTATTTAATTGTACTAGTATGCATCATTCCGCAAAATATTTCCACAACAATAACTCTTTTATCATCCAAATAACCTAAACTATAGTTACAAACATTTNTCTTAACAGACTACAAAGAATGGTCTGTGTAGCCCTGTCAGGCTGTCTCAGGACCACTCCTACAGCTGCTCTAGAGAGCTTACTTGGGCTTCTTCCATTGAACTTACGCATTGAAGTTGAAGCTCAGACAGGCGTAAAGCGTCTTATGTACCTTGGCCTATGGAAAGAGAATTCCAAACACTTGTCATGGGGACATCTTGTTTCACAAGTGAAGGATTTATCCTCTTTTATTATGCCTAGTGATTATATGTCACTAAGATATGCTTTTCACAAGCCCTTCAAGATCCATTTTCCTACTAGAGATGAATGGTTCAATTCTCCTCGGTGGCTTAAAGGCAAATGCCTGATATGGTACACTGATGGGTCAAAGATTGGTGCCAAATCAGGAGCAGGAATTTACTGCTCCAATGATGGTACCAAACTTCACTTTCCCCTGGGAAATTATGCCACCGTTTTTCAGGCTGAGGTCTATGCCATTATCTTGTGCTGCAAGTTATGCATAGACAAAGGATATCAAAATACGACTATCCGCATCTGTTCTGACAGTCAGGCTGCTCTCCTATCACTGTCAAGGTGTAAATTCACCTCTTTGTTAGTGTGGGAATGCTTCTCGGTCCTCTGTGACCTGTCCACTCATAACAAGGTATCCCTGCATTGGGTACCAGGACATATGGGTATCGGTGGAAATGAGCTAGCTGACGAAGCAGCACGGGCTGGCTCTAATGCAATTTTCTGGGGCCCTGAACCTGCGCTGGGAATTTCTCCCTCCTCATTTAGGGCAACCATATTCAAGCTCTACGGCAAGATCGCCCATGAGCAGTGGCGCGCTGCTGACGGTCAAAGACAAGCTAAGGAGCTGAATCGAGACTGTCCTAGTGTACGTCAAAAGGAGCTCTTAAAGCTTAATAGAAACAGTATAAGGAAGATCATAGGTCTTCTTACTGGTCACTGTATCCTCAGGAGACACCTAAACATTATGAGAATAGAATCCAATTCTCTTTGTCGGGGATGTCATGCAGAAGAAGAGACGACACCACGACACATACTCTGTGATTGTGAGGTCTATTCTGCTCAAATATTTTAGCATTTAGGGCAGCATATCGTCAGTACCTGGGAACTGCAAGATGTTCCTGTAAGGTGCTTGCTGAATTTTATTTCAGCCATAGGGCTTTCATGCTAATCATGATTTTAGGGTTTGGGTACAATAGACCTCTGGTCGATGTGCCCTGCTCGTGAGAGCTGCCCAACCTCTAAGTCTAAGTGAAAAAAATTCTTAAAAAGTTTTTCTTTAAGTAATTAGTTCCGTGAGAATAACACAAATTATTAATTACCAGGGTGTGTAGCCAGATTTTTCAACAAAAAAATAAGCATCTTTTAATAGTACTTTTTAAGCTCTCAAAAAATATTTGTAATCACTTTCCAAAAAAACACAATCTTAATTATAATCTGTTCAGTAATAAAAATTATTTTTTCTATCGCTTAAAGTTCTTAATTTATAAACCTAAAATCAATAAAATTCTAAGACGTTTTCAAAAACTTTACATAATCATGAGAGAATAACTAGTTTCTGATAAATATTGCATAGAAAAATCAAGAAATTCATGAATTTTTTGTAATTTAGAACGATCAGTGACGTGACAAAACAAATCTCTTTATAAAAGATTAAAAAAGTTAAGCACTTTTTACAAACCCTGAATAAAAAAAAGCACCTTTAAGGGCTTTTGAAAAACGTAAATCAAAAATAAGCACCTTTAAACACTTTTTAAAAACATTATGCACCCTAATTACTTATAAAGAAAATTTTATAACTACAAACCAATCACCAATTAATAGCTAAATTTAAAATACAAAAATTTAACAACATAAAAGATCACAGACCTTTCTCTTTGCACAACACGAAAAGAAAATCAGCAACCAATTCTTTAACATCAAACACAGGAGAAGTCATGAGTTTAACCAGCCTAATGAAACATAACAATAAAATTACTATCACCTCATAAGAACATCTACATTCATAAAAATTATTGACAGTACACATTTTTCCAACTACAAAACAACAAATGTAGATATTAACCCCTTCCTTAGTTTATAAAATATAAATTCAACTGAAATAACACTATTACATAATTAGTTATAAAAATAATTGATTATTAAAATGTTTGTCATAAAAACTTTGTTTAACTTACTTTCCAAGCTTATATATTTTCACAATACATAAATTGCTTACATCTTCAAATTTTAAACAAATCCTTGAACATGTTTTGATTGAAGAAAGTGTTCTTTTTTTCTGCAGGTTGATTCATTAAAAGAGGTGGGGGGGAATACAAACTAACCTGTTTCTCAAAGTAATTCCATCTTCTGGACGATTCATGACATCCTTTAATGGAGGCAAAACCTAATAAATTGGAGTATCTATTTTAGTTTAATATTTATAACACATTGCCAAGGTTGCCACAGAAAAAAAAATGGATGAAATAGTTGCTTTTAGTAGCCTAATGCATGAAAATAATTGCCGAAAACTATGAAAATAGTTGCCTAAATAAGAACATCATCAAATGCGACTAAAATTTTGTTAATGACTTAATTATCATATATCATGACCCATTTCATCAAGTTGGTGGCAAATATGAAAATTTTTATATAAATGTTAATGTTCTAGCACAATTTTCCCTTTTACCAATAATTTATCTAGGATATATATATATGTAAAATGATGCAGTCGGACCGAGCAGGGAAACAGACACAGGATTTTAATGAAATCAGATGTATTTTATTTAGATCATGTTCTTATGGAAGACCAGCGAAAAGTGATGTTAACTCCATTCAGGATCAGTCTTTCTGGTAGGGAAAATCTTGCAAATAATCCGAAAATGTCTCTATTTAGGGAAATCTTAGAAATTAATATTGGTTCATGAGCTTACTCGAGTGATTCCCATGGCTTAAAAGGGAAAAAAGATCTTTATTTAAATTTATGCATAGTTGGGCCAAAAATAGAATTAGAAACAGGATGTGACTTTTATAAGTGTGAGAAAATATTTCGATTAGAATAATTAATTAGGATAACATAAAAAGATCAATTGAAGCTTTTTATGTTACATCCATCCTCGCNATTAAGCTTGAATCTTTAAAAAAATATATATATATATATATATTGTTTTTTTGAAAAATATATGGAATTTTGAAGCAATAACCATTGAAAAGGCGACCAAGAAACGAAATAGACTTACAAAAGAATGATCAGATTAAAAAGTGAAGACTTAAATTTGCAATTCAAAATTTTCAAATTTTTTTTATTTTTCAAGAAAAAAAAGTGTGTTCAAAACCCAATTAATGCTAAAAAAAACATAGCTAGGAGTACAGAAAAGTCTCCCAATAGTCTCCTCTTTCTGAAAATAGTTGCTTTTTTAGCCTTTTCAGGCAAAAAAAAATTGCCATAGTCGCCTCATGCCAAAAATAGTAGCAAATAGTTGCATTTTGGTTGCCTGTGGCAACCCTGCATTACTTATATATCTCAGTTATATTCCATAAAAACAGAAACTTTAATTCCAAACAACTGGACATAACTAATAAATTATCTAATTGATTAGGTATTAATTTGTATAAATTAATCAATCAAATAAATATTTTGAAAGACTATACATATAAAAATCGAATTTATTATATTTTTATAATGAGCAAGCTCTATACTATACTTCCAGATTATAAAACAATAACTTTTTTTTAAAATATAACTGCAATAACTTTTGTTATGATAGTTCTACAAGAAAAATTTCAAAAAGTATGTTTTGTGAGAAACTTTATTTTCTACATAAAGGATTCTTCGTTCAAAATTTATGATTTTTTACAAAATTAAAATGAGCAAATGCAGTTAAGTGATTTTGAGACAGAAATGATTACCTTTTTGCGTAAAAATTTTCGAATAGTGCTATTGGCACGAGAGCATTCAATCAAAGTGGTGAGAATGGGCGACAAAATCTCCTTTGAATTCTTGTATGGCTAAATAAAAACACAAAAAATTAAAAAATCAATTCATTAAAAAAAGTGAAATCAGCTAAAAATTTTTAAATCTTAATCAATAATAAGCATGGTGGTACCTCTAAGTAGGACAAAGATGTTAACAAAGATGTCAATAAAACAGAAAAGGGAAATCTAACAGATTACATTGTAAAAATAAATTTTTTTTATAATATCTGAAATAATGATTTAAAGCACATTCGGCACATTATTTTTTCTCACTTACAACTCCGAAAAGTTAATTGTCTTTGATCTATAAATTCTTAAAAAATGCAAAAAAAAGGGCTCTAAAAACCATGAAATATTATTTAAAAAAAAAAAATGCTCTTATAATTTTTTTGAAAACCAGTTTTATCTAGCTCTTTTTCACACACAAAAAAAGACAAAACTTGCATTTAAAAATTTTATTAAAAAAAAAATAAGGTAATGATAAAAATAAATATGTAGTTCAAAGTAGTTAATATGTAGTTCAAATTAGTTAATATGTAGTTTGTATGATTAAGTGAAATGTAAATAAATACCTTATAAAAATGAATAATGAATTTATTAATTTTTAGTTAGAATTTTCAAGAGCTGCATTGTAAGTAATCAAATGCTTTTCAGATACTCGTAAAATTGAAAGAATGCGAATCGTCCAAAAGCAACTTCTTACATCTTGAAAACTCTGTTGAATATCAAACTTGTAATTAAAAAATATTAAAAATAAAAAGATTAAATACAAAATTTACACTAATTTATTTTTAAAAAAATTATGTACAAGATCTTCACATGAAATCGTAAGAGGAAAAAATATTTTAAAAAAATCATGATTAAGTTCAATAGTTGCCTATAATAGAAAATACAAATAAATGCTCCCTGTTACAATGAAAATGACACTTTTCTATTGAAACACAGACAATTTTCTGCAAAACAAATTAATAAATTTTTAATAAACTTTAACTAAATTTTATAAGTAATTTTGAGCGTGACATAAAACAGGTATTTCTGTTATCAAGAAATTTGAAATTTAAAATAAAATGCAACTCTTTAACTTAATTTTACTCACTAAAAAAACTTTCACAAATTTGATAGTCATAATAATACCCGAGAGAAACTATACATATAGGGGTGCTGACTGCTATCGTAGAAATTCTGGCATTTCTGAGGCCAACGGGAAATAGAACTAAGTGTGCGCCATTTAAAAAAAAAAATCCTCCATGACTCCCCTGGCCCACAGTGGACTTTACTTTTTTTTAAATTTAGCTTAATTCTGGGCAGAAAAGATATCATTTTAAAGCCTTATACAAAGTTTTCCTATTTAGCTGATATTAAGAACAAAATGATTAAATTTCAAAAGAAAAATTCAGGAAATAAAGGGGAAATAATGAGATGCATTGTTCTAATGAAATATTATTCTTTACTTTGGCTATTGATTATGATTGAGTTACAATGAAATAACATATATTTGAAACACATAAATGGTATTTTATTATATATTTAGAATCATTTTACTAAAACATTTTTATTCAGTTTAAAGCATTCATGATGGGCGCAGTAGGCCTTGGCTCTTTAGGGGCTGTCGCGACACTGAGTTTGTGAGAGTTAAAGCATTCAAACCTATAAGCTATTTATGACCTATAGAAATCTCTAAATATTTTAATATTAAATCATTCTTAATCAATCTACACTTTACGTAAATAGAAAAATGCATTAAAAAAATTATTGATAGAAACGTGATAGCTACAAACAAGAAAGGAAAAAAATAGAAATTTTATGCAATGCATAAAATATTAAACACCAGTAATTCTTTTATAATTAGTGAAGTAAATAAGATACAAAAATTGCATTAAAATAATAACAACAAATTTAGAGCAACTGGAATATTCTTGTATGTAATTGAAATTAAATCAACTTGAATTGAAAAATTTTAATTATTTTTTTAATAAGGTGTATTAAAATCAGATATTAAATCTATGCTGCAAATCTATTAACAATAATGGGTGGAATACCTTACTTAACCTTCTTTCCAGAAAACTTAAAAGTACACAAACAGCTTCCATATCTGTACCTTCAAAAACATTGACTGATTTTTGTTCATCTTCAAGATATGGGGTTAACAGCTCAGCATAACTTGACATGGGCATGTTGGTCAAAAGATCAATGGTATGTCTAAAAATAAATTATGAATGAATAATGCATTATTTTACCAATCAACATTGGAGAAATGAAATAAATGAGATTTTCCAAGCAAAATTTTTTGGGCTACGAGCAAAAATTTTGATACATCATGCCCGGGCTCGAAAAAACTCAGAAATTTTACCCATCCCCGAGGACGGCTTGACCAACAATGTACCCGTCCTCCTTTGAAACTAATCCGTAGCTTCTAAATAAATAAAAGTATAATTTTCTCTTATTTATTACTAACATTTATATAAATTACACAATGAATTCATAGTTACTAGGATTACAAATACTAGGTTACTAATAGTAAAACCTAGTATTTCTTTTATAAGATAATTTATTCCTTTTATGAAATAATTTAAATAACAAAGGTCAAAGTATCTGGAATGTCAATTTATCCGAGGGTACTGCCTTTTTTAAATGAATCAAATATGACGTTTGCCAGTTCCACAATCAAGCCAATGATTTACAGAGGTTCCTGCACAGAAATCTGAAAGGGGTTTTCCATTTAGATAAATGTTCATAATTGCGTTTAACGCTTCTTGTTTAAGACCAGTACGCAATGTGTTTTTTTGTAAGTTCATTGCTGAAAAACCTCTTTCAATCGCTGCAGTACTCCCAGACAGAGAAAACATCGCTTCCACCATGAGCAGTATGTTGCTGTATTTCTAGATTAGAGGGTCATTTTAGAAGTGCGTCACTAGACGGATAAAAAAAAATTGAAAATGATAGATAAAAAAAATTGAAAATGTATCACGAACATTAACGGGAAAATTGCTGTTAGCACGGACGTCGGGTTCGAGAAATTTGTTGTCTACGGGGAATTTTTGACCACCGAAGACGGGCGGTTTTTCGAACCCTGCATCATGCATAATCATGTAAGTCAAAAAGAGGGATTCAAAATTGGAAATAATAATAGCACTTACATTTAGCGTCGTAAAAAATAAATACAATCTTAATCTAAAGATTTTTTTTAAACCATTATTTATAATTACTTAGACTCTACATAGTAACACTCAACATACTGCAGTACTGGCAATAACACCAACTGTTGAGGTATAAGAAAAATATTTTTGCCATTAGCGGATATTTTATCGCCAAAAAAGGTTGTTTTTTTAAATTTCTTTCACAAATACAGAGAAATTTGAGAATATACATGTAAACAGGAGATAGTCGTAAAATACAGGAGTCTTCGTTAAAAAAACAGGAGACTTGGTATGCATTATGCATTAAACTAAGAAGCTCTATGAGGGAAAAAAAAGGAAAAGATCTTTAAAAGGATTCCTTGACTGTTTCCGTGACATAATTTTTTTTTCGGGTTGTTTAAGTGTTATTTACAATTTCAAGATTTCTTTTGGAATCTCACATAATTATAGTTTAATTCTTTGTTATTTTTCATTTTGTCTTTTCAATAGATTACACAATTTTTCAAGTAAAACAAGAAGTTTTCAGGCAGGATTTCACTTCAGGCCGGATTTTATGTGTAAAAAAACTACTGCAGAATTATGACTCAACCACTAACAAGTTAAAAATTGGTTTCTTGGTTTGGCCCTACAATCTGTAAATAACAGAGAATTTTTCAGCATACCAACAATAGTTTTAATATGATGTGATAAAAAAAAAATAGTAAGATTATCCCAAAAAAATTTTTAAAAATAGTGACGATTTATAAATAGTGATTAGGGTATCAAAAGTCGAAAAAATTAGTTTAAATGTAGAAAAAAATATGGAGATAATCACCAATATGCAGGTAGCCACAAATACCTCAAAAAAAATTCCTGATTTTTTCAAGTTGATTTATTGAATTTCTCTGATTTTCTGAGACATTCACATAAATTGTATTATTATATTTATACGCAAAATAAATTAATATCAGATTAAATAAGGATGAGATTAAATTAGTACACTTATATTAGCCATTTGAGTTGGAAATTTATTTTTTTTAAAAATTACTACAGGATCAATTTTGTTTGGGGGAAGGGATATTGGATTTATAGGTACCTCAAAATCATTAATATTCTCTGACTTTTTTTAACAATTTAATTAAAGTTCCTGTTATTTCTCTGATTACTCCAGATTGATAAAATTTCCCTATTTTTCCTGTTCTCAGGCAAGTAGGAATATAGTTGCTGAGAGTGATAGGAAGATAAAACTAATGTTCAATTTGCTGAGCTTGGAAACTTTATCTATTTAAGGAAACTTATCTCTCTTCAAAATTTGGAATTATATTTGAAATATTATTCAAAATGATAAATTTATTTATAAATTAAAATGTTCAAAGAATTGAAAATTTTTCATGAATATCTAAAGAGATAAGCTAAACCATTTAAATCTGACTTCTATTACACCTTTCTTTTTTCTTGGAGTAATTTAATATATAGTACATGGATTTTCATTTGATAAGTTTATGAATATTAACACTCTCAGAGAGCAAAAATATTTATTTGTTATGAAGGAAATAGCAAATACTGATACAACGAACACACAGTTTATTTTGACGAATCCCAACTAAATTAAAATGACATGTTGACTTTCATTACTGAGATTTAGAATACCTGATAAAAAAAAATCATTAGACCTATTTTTAAAACCTTTTTATTTCAAAAATTATTCTATTTAAGAAGCTATTTACAAATCACATCAAGCTTAGAAGCAACGGGGGATTCCAGAATTTGTGACAAGGAGAAGGGAAAGCAATAAAAAGTGAGACTTTAAAATAAAAATAATTAAAATGAATAGATTAAATATTTATATATAAATTTTTTTAATGTCCTTTTTTATCTAAATTTTTTCTAATACCCATTTCATCATTATAAGTCACAAATGTCATTAAAGTTAAAAATCAAATTTGATCAGTAAAGTATGCTTTGTTTGCAGTAATTTGTATAAAGGAAAAATACATCACCTTTGTAACTCATCTTTCTTCTCCGAAGAGGTGGCGTCGATCAACAAGCAATCATGAAGAATGCTCACAAGCCTCATGTAATGAGCCTCTTCCTCCTATTAAAATACCTTTCCTTTTAATGATCCTTCATTTAAATAGTAATGTTTAAAATAGTTGCCCATTGTAATAAATTTCCAAATAAAAAGTGCAATAAATCTGAATACATGATAAAACAAAATAATAGGATAACTTACAAGTACAATAGAAACCTTAATAAAAAAAAACATCAACAAACTTTTTTTTTATTACATGTAGCGACATTCAGGCTTTATACTCAAAAACAGAAAATTTTTTCCCCCAACTTTTCCAAATATATTCAATAATCAACAAATATATACAATATATTTAATAAAAATATAAATTAGAATTATAAATAAAAAAAATTTAACTCTTAAGTAATTTATGAAGAGTAAAAAATTTTAATTTTACTCTTTATAAATTATTTTTATTTTCATCTGATTTTAACTAGGTTAACCCTGTATTGAATTGTTAGAACTTTAAACATAACCGAGAACGAAAATAAGTGTAAGGAAATTTACTAGGCAATATTAAACAACAACAAAAAAATTTTTTTTTAAATTAAAATATTATATTTTTCTATAAAAAATATTTTCTTTAATATTTTTTTAATAAGTACAAAGTTGTTGCAAAATATGTATTATAATAAGTGTAAAAATATATAAATAATAAGTGTAAAATTAAACTTAAAGCAAATTTAATCAATGTAAGAACATATTTGTTAAAAATATGTGATAAACAATTAAAACACAATAGATAAGAACTGATTAAAAAATTAACTGTGGAAAAAATAAAAAACTGAACAACATTGTAAACAAAATTGGAAAAAAAACAGAGAAACTTTTGTTCAAAAAATTGAGACAATTGATTTCTTGGAGATCTTTTACAGTGCTACACATTTCCTTTGTGATCACAATACCCTTGTTCTTTTATAACATTAATTAACTTTTATTTTTGGTCTTAATTTACATAAGTTTTTGCAATATTACACGTGTAATGTCAGCTTATAAAAACAGTATATGCTGATCTCATCATGCCATTGGTCATGAAATTGTGGAGTCTTAATTTTTATGACCCTAAGTTATAAAGGGACTGTTCAAGAATCATCATCATAATAGTTGCCCAGACAGCCTAATGAGGGCCAAAGCCTTCCTCTGAAGATTTCTCTATAACAACTTCTGATTTATCGTTGAACTCCAATTCTTTTCATTAATTGCAAGAAAATCAGACTCCACCGAGTCAGTACATCTCAACAGCAGCCTTCAGCACTTTCTTGTCCCAGTGAGTCTAAAAAGCAATATCTTTTTTATAGTATTGCCATCACTCACTTGAATTATGCGGCCATCTGATTCATTCCATTTATTTTTATGCATTTAATAATATCAAGTTGTTCATGTTCATAAATCTTGCACAGTTCAAAGTTAAATCTCCTTCCTCAGTTATTGTTTTCATTTGCACCATCAAGTATACCCCGCAAGGAATTAAAATGATGATGCACAAATGCTTTACTGAAAACGATGGTCAACTTAACAAACATACACATTATGTTTCTCAGTGTGTAGATGTGTGTGTGAACCCATTAAGAAAAGTAACAGATTGTTGACCGGATTAAGAGTGGTCTCTTGATAAGGAACCGCTAAAATTTGACTCAGACAACCATAACGTAATCATCAGTTGTGCCACAGACCAGCAATCAATGTAAATGGATGGTTTGCTGTTTTTGTTTTTTGACTTTCAGTTTTGTGTTTGCAAAATAGCATATTTCATCACTGTGAACATTACACCTACTCTGTATGCTTTATTTTCAGCATATTTAATTTAAATTCACTTTATTTACTTATTTTACCACAAAAAAACAATAGTGACTCATAAATATACTAGAAAAAAGGGTACAGACCAGCAATAATTTTTAGCCCATAGTCTGGGGAGCAGTGATTAAATTGATTTAATTTCTGCTCCCTCACCCCAGTGGCAAAATCACAGCGACATTGTCACAGAATGTTACAGAGTTCCTGCTGAAAGATTTTTCTTTTGAGAAATAAAAAATTTTGGTTTTCTTTTCTGCAGAAATTTACACATAAAATTCTAATCACCTTTTGACGCGCTCAATTTATGCCAATAGTACAGTAAATCCACGTAATATTTCCATTGTATTTTGGGCAGTTATTGATATTGATTTTCACATAATTTTTAAATATTCCAATATATTCCAGACAATAAGGGAAATTGGAATCTGACTTTTTAAAATCTGATACTTTTCATACAATATTATTTATTACAACAACCTAATCTTGAAAACAAAACAATCATTTAAGTAACCCTTTTTTAATGAGTGCGATTATTCGCATGGTTTCGTCGCTGATCTTTCTTTTTCTCGGTAATTACGATTTCATGTTTTTTATACTGTACGATTTCATTTTTTTTTTTACATGTTACTTGCGAAATGCAAAAAGCAAATAATTAGTGCATCCCCCCCCAATAAAATGCGAGAATATCATCCATAATAATAGAACAGAAAAATATTACATGTTCAATTTACCCCTTGCCAGTGTCGCCCGAATCCAGTTCTACTACTACGTGCAATATTTGTCCGAACTCACTTCGGGCATAAGAAAAATAAATGCTTCTATTTTATGAAGCCTAAACTGAGTTCGTTTCTACTTTAGGATACTTAATTCACTATTTTCCTAATAGATGGCATTAGTGATCCTAGTTTTTCCATATTAAGACTTCAGTCAAATGAGGGAAAATGTGAGTATTGTCAGTTGTGGATGTGGGATATACCATACTGTAAAAGATTTTTAAAAATTCTGTATTGAAAATCATATTGTTGTGTTTCTATATTATACTAGATATATTATATTTAGCTTCAAAATTTTGTTTAATTTGCTCTAATTGAATAAGATGTGTCTGTAATCCATTACTTTTTTTATGTGTATGTAAAAATTATAAATACTGTGGTTATTGTATTTAAAATTTTATTTTTGCAATAAAAAAACCATTTTCTAACTTTTATAATAATATAAAGAACGAAATTAAACAGTCAAAAAAATTTCCACTTTTGGTCCATTTTTAAGGAATTAAAGGAATTATATAGTTTTTTTTTTTTTTTTCTATACACAGCACTTTTGTTACATTAAATTAAGTAACATACATCTTTGTTATTATTAAAAGTATATCTTGCAGAAAGATATTATTGCTAGAGAGTTTTGTTGCACAGGGTTCTGCACTATAATTTAACACACTCACTTCTTCCATGTTATATTTCTCTACGTTGACTGTAAGATTGAAAAGAACTTTGAGCACTTCACAAGCCATGTCAATTTCTTTGTCTGTGAGGCTCTTCTTGTTATCATCATCGTCCTTCAGAATGAGATCTAAAGCTTCCATCAAGTAAGTCAATCCATGCAGATCGGTCTTTACTTTAGGTCTGCAATAAAGACAACATTTTATTATTCCAGGGTCACAAATTGAGGGGGGGGGATAAAATAAAAATGTCAATAATGCAGGCCTTATAGTGAACCAAATTATTTGGAGTAGTATATACATATACTAGACAACTTTTAAAAAAGGTAAATGACAAAGTTTAGGAGTTTTTACGAGTGAAAGGAGCTCGTCTACAAATAGGTAGTACGTGTTTGGTCAGTTAGTGTGTTTGGTAAGCCTAACCAGTCCAAATTAAAGCAAGCTTCTTTTAAAAAATGAAATAAAAAGTTTCTAAGTTATAGTTGTAAAGTTAATAGGTAGTCGAAATTCGAACTAATATTTGAAACATTATTCTAAACTTATTTTAATAGACCTTTATTTTTTTATGAAATATCTTTTTTATCTGTGAAACTTTTATGACCCAGTTGAAAATGTTCTCATAATGAAAATAACTTTTAGTGCTATTACTGTTAAATGTTTTTACTAAATTAAAATTGAAATTTAACAATGGACAATGATTTGTATGGATTTTCAAATATGGATATAATTTTAAGCCCAAAATTTTACAATAACAATATTGTTTTCAAACACATGGGAGAAATATTTATATAAATTTACCAGTCAGTACGAATAAATGATTTTTATTCGTACTGACAATTTTTGAAAATATTTTCTTTTTTTACCATATTTTTGGGTTGAACTTTTAATATAATTTTTTATTTTCACAAATTAAGTCTTAATTTTCACAAAATAGGTATCTCTTAAAAAAAAAAAAAAAAATAGANTATCAATTAAAAAAAAAAAACTAGACTAACCCCTGCTGTGGTCAGAACAGAAAGCTTTAACAATTTCCATTAATGGAGCACTGAACAACTTTTTGTTTGCGATCAATAAGTAGAAATTTTTTACTATGCTGTTGAAAAATATATATATGTGTGTATGTGTCACGATTAATGTGTTTAATTGTTCAATATTATTACTTACCGGCAATTATTAATAATAACCAAAGAAGGCGGTGAAAGCGATTCATTTAAACAAATTTATCATATTCAGCAGTTATTATTAATAACCAATAAAGTTGGGTAAATGTAACTCTTTCACGGTTTTTTATGTGTTGGCAACAGCATGACAAAATAGGCTTATTGTTTATTTTAGAATTTAGGCACCTGATTCCTTGTCATTTCTTAGAGTTGATAGTATAGTTTTTAACAAAATAACAAAATTAACAAATGTTACAACCACACAATGGATGACGATTTAGAAGTCATGAAATCAAGTTTCAGCAACTCATACTCAAAACAAAAAAAGGTAAAAATGAAAACTTATATGAACTTGGTACAAAACATGAAACTTTAAAACTATATACAAGGAATTATTTTACCGTCTAGGAAGCTTTTATTTCAACGAATGAAGTTCCAGTGAATGAAATAAGTCTAAGAGAATGCTCTTGTAAGGATTCAAACTTAGGTGGTCAAGGAATTCAGTATTGCAACTGTAGGAGCAAGTGCAACTTGAATCGTCGCCAATGTAAAAAGTCAAAAACACTTTGAATTCCAAATGACACAATAGCTTTTCCAGTCAAAATACGTAATTTGTTTAAAATTACATTTAATATTTTAGTTGAAAGCAGTTATGTCTAATTAAAAAGAAAAACAGAAAAAAATAAATTGTTCTTAGTTTCTAAAACAAATTTTTAACACTAAAAATCACAGTTTCTATGATACTGGTTATCTATATTACAGTACAGGGAAAAAGTAATAATAAATTAATAGTATGAGATGTTTCCTTAAAATGCTGCGTAATAATAAAAACAGCAAAAATAAAAAATAAAAACTTCTGAATTCTTAGAACAAAAAGTATCGAAAAAATAACGAAATTGAGCTATGCGAAGATAGCCCCCGAAAATGAGGAAATTNCATTTTCGGGGGCTATCTTCGCATAGCTACGAAATTGACTTGATTGAATATAATTTTTTTAAAAAAAGCAGAAGTGCAAAAACTTGTAGATCAGTATAAAGTAATCTAGTTTCAATTCTTTAAATTTCGTTTTTCCATTTGTCATCTAGAAGATAACTTTCCAAGCCATGTGCAGAAACATGGATTTTAAAATTTAACAAATTTGTGTAAAAACTATTTCTTATAATAAACAATACTATAATATAGTTAAAATAATGATTGCATATTATTATTTATCATATCTATAAAAATTTTAGAAAAAATTTTAGAAATACTTTTCTAAAAAAATACTCTGCTGAATATTAAGCCGATTATTTGACCAACTGAATTCTTGATAGAAGGGCCGAATACTTGTTACAACCCTAATTTAAATGCAATGTTATTGCAACCTGAAAAAATCACAAAGCAATGGAAAACGTGAATTTTTAAACTGCTCACTATTTGTAATTTTAATTTCATTTCTTTTTTTTGCTTAAATAACCTTTTTTGGTAAAAAAAAAAAAAAAATAAGTTAATTTAAGTCGATATAAGGGTTTAAATTAATTTGAAAAACTGAGAATCACNCATTACAAGATAAGTATAGAATTTTATTTTGAACTATAATAGTTTTGTTTTTTGTTTAAACATTATTAATCTTCTTCAATTAAAATATTTAATTAGAGTTAATATTACTTAATATGTACTAAATTTTTTTCTACTTTCATTCTGTGAGCATTGCAGTCTTTTTTATGAGAATTTATTTTTAAAATGAATTTTTGTATTGCGTTATGATAAAAAAAAATGAAATAAATGAATTTTTGTATTGTGTTATGATAATAAAAAAACTTTTGCTTTCTCCAATATTTATTTATTTATTTTAGTTACTAATTTTGATACATCTATTTTTTATAAAATAAAAATGGAAAGTTTTTTTAAAAAAAGTATTAGTTTTTTTCACTTTTGAATGAATTGTAATAATTGAATGTCTTTAATTTACTACAAAAATGTTACTAAGTTTATTGATTAAAAAAAATTTTGAACACTAATGTTTAAATAAATATTACTACATTTGCAGTCAACATGTCTTAATACATGTGCGGCTCTTCATTAGTCAACCTGCTATGCAAGTAGCCCTTCACTCAAAAAAGTTATGCAGCCCTAGGTTACACTAAAAATTACAAGGATTACACAGCATACAAGCAGTAAGGTTTTGGTTTGTCTTTAATTACCCCCACATTTTAACTAAAAAAAAATGCTAAAATATGAGAATTCAAGATCTGCGTTCTCAGTATTATTGAAAAAAAAGCTATAAAAAATTATGGAATTATTTCATTCCATTGAAATTACAAAATTATATTTTTTTTTATGATTTATATTCTCCTTTTAACAGTAATCCTTTAAAATAAAACAGAAAAGGTTAATATATAAAACAGTGTCAGCTTCAGCGTGACACCAACTGAACAAAAATGAAAACATACATTAGATTTACTTAAAAAGCAAAAAAATATATATATATATTAATTAAAAAACAATAATTAAGCGTATATTTTAAGTGAATACCACAACATATCTAATTTATTTCTCTCTATATCTGGACAAATGTTAGGTAGTCTTAAGCAGGTTTGAGTTTGCAGTCAAAAAGTACGCTCATCTTTTTGCATATTTCAATAAGCGTAGTTTTTTACATCGTTGAGGTTAAAATAAATTTCTAAATTAAAAAGAGTGTCATTCTTTCAGAATAAATTTTATCTATCATCACTTTTTTAAAAAAATATATACTGATTTTTGAAAGAAAATTCTTAATGATTTCAATGAAAATACTTTTGACAGTTTCAGAAGAAAACATTTTAACTGAGAGAATTATTTTAAAATAACCTTTACAGAAAAATTTAGCCAGACATTGCAATTTTAAACGGCAACAGATTTCAAAATATAAATATTACTTTCAGAAAAAGCTAAAGATAATAACAATAATAAAAGAATTCACCTTATTTCAGCACACAATGCAGTCAGCAGAAAAAGCATTCTCATGTCGAAGAACTGAAAAAGTAGAGTGCATAATTATGCAACATATATTTTCAAAAAAATTGGGCTCACAAGAAAGGTTTCCACAAAAGCATATCCAAAATTAAACGCAGTTTTCACTCTTTAGTACAAACTCCCCATTACAGGGATCTTTCCATTGTAACAACCAATGCATAAAGTCTGGTTTGATGTACTATAAACGCTAAGTTATTCAATATCAATCCTGAACCCATTCATTTCAATAAAGCAACCAAAATCTAGTGATTTGATTTAATGAAGGTTTGAGAGAAATCATGTAAACCCTTATTTCTTTTGTTATCTCCCAAGAAATGTAAAATAATTTTAATCCCATTCGTATGAAAGAAGAATGGCATGGTTCCCTGAATTCTGATCCTAGGTCTTAAATGGCCATAGTGTATGGCCATTTATAATCTTCTTTTCAAAGGACAATAAATTTATCAACCATACTTTTCTGAGCCATGATCGCTCAGGTGATAGAACGTTCGCCTTCTAATGAGATGAATCTAGTTCGATTCCCAGCAATGGCTGGTCGATAGGAATTCCACATCTGGCATGCACCGACCACAGTGCAAATGTATAATATCCTCAGTGGTAGACGGATCATGGGTTAGAGTCACCTTGCCGTCAGGCTAACCGTGGAAGTTTTTCGAAGATTTCCTCTCCATGTAATGCAAGTAAAGGTTAATTCCAACAAAAACTCCTCCACAAAGGCAAATTTCTCCCCATACTTGATCCAGGAGTTGCCTTGTCTTCAGGGTTGGGTTCAAAATGACAAGACTACGGAGTTGAACTTTAGTTGTCGTAAAGCTAAATAATTTAGTCGTCTGTTTAACGACGGTTATAAATATAAAAATAAAAGTATATATGAATAAAACATACTTATCTTATTTGAAAATTGTGTACACTTTTATTATGGAACATCAGTTCCCTTGTGTGGTTTATTTTTGAGTTAAAACTTGTGCTTTCCACAATTACCTTGACATATGTAATTTATTGAAAATAGCAGTCCTGAACAAGCATATTATTTTTAATGAGTTTATACTTTACATGGATTTGATTTTAACATTATAGGGGAACTGAAATTATCAATAATATGACTGATTTCAATAGAGTCATGCAGTGAATAATGTTTACATAAACAAATTAAAATTATAATATAGTTTACTTCATTAGTTACAAATATCTGTCATCAGGGTGGGTAGCCAGATTTTTAAACAAAAAATAAGCACCTTTTAAGTGCTTTTCAATCTCTCAAAAAATATTTTTAATCACTTTCCAAAAAAAAAAAAAAATCATAAATAGGATCCCCGTGGCAGAATCATGGTGACACGGCGACATTGTCGCAAAGTGTTATTGAGTTCTTGAAGAAAGATTTTTCATTTTGGGAAGTAAAAAATTTTGGTTTTCTTTTCTGCAGAAATTTTCGAAAGCTTCTATCTTCTCTTCAGAATAATTAATATACATATAATATTCAAAATTATATGCCATTCTTGCGCATCGGAGTGAAAAAAAAGGCTTGTAATTTTTCTATTTTCACTTGAGAATAATAAAGTAAAATGTTTGGTTTTCTTTTCTGCAGAAACATTCGTTATATTTTTTTCTTTTTATTCATTCTATTTTTTTCTTTTTATTCATTCTATTTTTTTTATTGCTATTGATTTCCGCATAGCTTTTAAAATACGATATTTTTAATCTGATATTATTTATTGCAACACCTGAATCTTGAAATGAAAACACGCATTTGTAACCCCCTTTTTAGGAGTTCGATTTGGCGTGATTTCGACGTCTATCTTTTTTTTTGTTAGTTACTGCTATGGATTTCACTATTTTTTATTTGTTTTCAAATTCGATGATGACTTACAAAGAAAGAAAAAGAAAATAATTTGTGTGTTTTCTCCTTAAAAAATACGAGAATATAGCTCATAATAATAGAATTAAAAAAATTACATATTCAATTTTAAAAATTACATTATTTTTTCCGAAGTTTTTTTCTTTCTTCTTTTTGAAGTTGACGCTTTTGTAACTTTAAATTAGTAACATATATATTTGTTATTATTAAGAGTATCTTGCAGAAAGATATTAATGCTGGAGAGATTTGTTGCAGAAAGCCACAGGGTTTAGGACCTGTGCAGTAATAAATAAAAAAAAATTCTATCGTTTAAAGTTCTTAATTTATAAACATAAAATCTATAAAATTCAAAAACATTCTCAAAAACTTAATATAATCATGATGATATAACTAGTTTCTGATGAATATTGCAGGAAAAATTGTGGAAATCATGAATTTTTTTTAAAAATTTAGAACGGCAATTGCCACGGCAAAGAAAAAAATCACTTTTCAAAAGATAAAAAATTAAGCCCTTTTTACAAACACCCAAAAAAAAGCAGCTTCAAGGGCTTTTAAAAAATATAAATCAAAAATAAGAATTTTTTAAAAATGCTACATACCTTGTATTTTAAAAAAGCAAAATAAGTGAGAAGATAATTAAAAATAAAACACAAAAATCTGTTTTGATATAAGTAAATGAATAATTATGCAGCTCAATGGGGGGGAATGATAAAATTAATTCAATAAAAATAGTTTTATTCAAAAAAAAAAGAAAGAAAAGACACAAGTTACATATTAACATAAAAATCAACCATTTCATATAAATTTACCAGAAAAAATATCAGATTTAAATGTGCGCATAGCCAAATTTTTCAACAAAAAACAAGCACATTTTCAGCACTTTTCAAGCACTCAAAAAATATTTTAAAGCACTTTGAAAAATATTATAATTAGACAGGGTTGGCAAGTTTTTGATGAACACAAATGATGAAATTAAAAAGAGAAATTAAATTTTCTATCACCAACAGAGAAAAAAAATTGACAACGTTTAGTTGGCCCCCATAATCAGCAAAAATTCGAGAGATTTTTCAATTCTATTACAGAGTGCAGAAAATGAAGTCTGAAACTGAGAATCTCTCAAAAAATGCAGCAGGATTGCACATGAGAGTCAAAAATCCTTATCACTGAATCCAGCTCAGTATACGCATGTGCGGACCAAAAGTATTTCATCAAACATGTAAAACAAATGGTGTTTTCATACACTACAGATTGGCGGTACGCCGAAATAGATTGAGGTTGAATTAATTGTGAAAACGTTGAATAGGAAGGACAATGTCTTTTTGCATAATTTGTGGCGAAAATCAACATGGTAAAAAAAAATATCACATTTCGGAAATGGGAAAATTAAGCACTTTTTAAAAACACTCATGGAAAAAAGCACCTTTAAGGACTTTTAAAAAATGCAAAATTGAAAATAAGCACCTTTAAGAACTTTCTAAAAACGCTACACAGCCTGATAACAATACTTTTAATATGCTTTATGAACTGTGATTTAACACATCAAAACAAAAAGGAATACACATTTCTACAAAGCTATGGGTTATCAAAACTCAAATGTTTTAAATTAAAATTTCTAGACAATTTCCTTTATTAATTATAAATACATAATGTACTCCCATGTATTTAACGTACAGTCCAATACTTAATGTAGTCATTCATGAATTTTACTTAGTGTAAACAAACAAGTACCATTTTCTTTTCTTTCTTTTTTCATAGTATTTATCTATAACTGCTGGTCTCACAATTAAACTGTTCTCCAATAAGTATATTATTTAATAATACAAATCTCTGTACAAATAACAAAATATTAAATTAGGAAGCATTGTTTAGATACAAAATGCCACAATATAAAACTATGAATTACCTTGACATCATGTGGTATTTCTGAATCTTTATAAGTTCTCAAGCGAAGTAAAATACCTTCAATGCAGCCATTATTGCTAAAAACAAAAAATTATTTGTAAGAGACATTAAAAAAAGGAAAATATGAACAGAATGTTGCAACTAAACTATAATTTAATTAACATATATATTAGCTATAAAAAATATAAGAGGTGGAAAAAAATGAAAAACATTTTAAAACTCAAATATTTTTTCTTCAAACTCAAATATTTTTGAGTTTTACATCAAAAACATTTGAGTTTGAAGAAAAAATATTTGAGTTTTAAGATTTAAAACAATTTTCAAATATTTTTTTTAAAAAATTAAATGGTGATTACATGGTCATGTCTTTCTCATGTTTTTAAAACTCAAATATTTTTTCTTCAAACTGAAATATTTTTGATATAAAACTCAAATATTTTTTCCTCAAAATCACATGAAAGACTTTTTGAACTTTAACAAATAAATAAATTATAGATTCATTAGCATTTGTAAAGGGGGTCAAAATGGTATATTTAAACACCCTAGAAATTTTCAACTGTCAATTTTCAAATTTAAAGAATTAAATGTGCAATGTGCACAAATAAAAATATTTTTCAGCAACAAAAAAAATTGGATTTTTAAAGGATTATAACGAACATTTTATCTGTTTGCCTGGCAAGAAAATTAACATTAATTAAAAAAAAAAAAGTAATAGGCAACGCAAGATTATTTTCTTCATTTTATAATATAGCAAAGTTAACTAGCTTTATATACTGTTATCTCCAACACAGAAAACCAACATGGTGTACTCCACACAGAGATTCCAATTTTCCTCCAAAAACTCCGATCAGAACTCATTCAGTTGAACCTCTTTTTTAGCCATAAAGTTTGAGGATAGTGTTTGTACTGTACACAATTAAAAACAAGTAATATAAAAAAAGTTTTTTAAAGTCAATTCCTACAACAGAACATTTTTATTTTACTTACTTTTCATTAAATAATTAAAAAAAATTTCTCTAAATTTAATCTAAAATTAATTAATTAAATTAATGAATTAATATTTGAAAAAACTGTATCAACATTAAGTGTTATCTACTAGTACAAATTTAAAAAAAATGTATTTGTGCTTGAGTACATGAACAAAAAGTATTTTACTAACGATTGAAAATTTGAGCGTGATATCAGACAACTATAAAAGTATGAATTTGGTGATCATGTGTTCTATCATGCAATGTTCTTTATTGAATTTATCTGACACAGCGAATATAAAATAATTAAATGTGTGCAATAAACCCTTTTTTTGTTCAAATAGAGCTATAAGTTAGAAATTATCACTGATGCCATCTCTAAAATATGTTAANAAGCGAACACACCCGGTTTCGGTTTCAAGTGTGCGCGCATGCGCAAGTCATAACGTGGGTACGACATGAAGTCCGCGTGAATGATTACGTAGCAAACTCCCCATTTTTCGTGAAATGCACGGGATCCACCAGATATCACTGAAGGGAAGAAAAAAAATTATTCGGAAAGAAAAGCACTTTTTAAAAACGCCAGCTGAAAAAAGCACCTTTAAAAGCTTTTAAAAACGAAATCCCCAAAAAAGCACCTTTAAGTACTTTTTACAAACGCTACGCACCCTGTATTATCATTTATATTGCAACCATTGAATTATTAAATGTATTAACACCCCATAGTTAAAATAATAAAATAATGTTTAAAAGAAAATATCTTTTTTTCAAAATCATAACATTTTTAAAATAGTTTAGATTTAAATTAATTAAATATTTATTCCTTACCCTAACAATTTTTTTTTTTGAAGGGTTAGAGTATTTTAAGAATTGGTAGCATTATTCAGAAAATATAAAACAATTTTAGGGGAAGAAAAAAATTATGCTGAAAACAAAAAAATTAATTTAATATATTATACAACATGTGAATAGCATTTATATATACGCTTGATCAGTTGAAATTAAAATGAATCAACTTAGTATTAAACAAAGTAAAGTTTACAAGATTATTCGGAGAGTGGAGTAGTCTTTTTGACTCAGTTAAGAAATAAAAAAAATTCTGCGGATGTATGAATTTTTTAAAACTACAGATTAAAAACAACTTTAGTCAAGAATTTTATAAAGTAATATTAAATTAAAACTACAAATATACATAATAAAACTATAATAGACATATAGTAGCAAAATAGATTACCAACACACGTTTTGCACGAAACTACAGTTGTATATTAAATTGCATAAGCACTTCTGAGCCTCCACTATAACTAGAAATAGTTTAAAATACATTTTATGCATAATAAATAAAATTTTATTACAAATCAGATGTTACATTCAAAAGAACTTTAATGAAAAAAAAATTAAATTACATGATATAAATGTACAGTGAAATCTCAATTATACAAATACTTATCCACTAACCCAAGTCAAGTCCGAAATTTTACTTTACATATTTAAGTTTTTTCTCTTTTTTTAAATAATGTGTTATTCTAAATCAGCTACATATTAGGCCTTAAAAATAAAGAACACTCTTGGTACTACAATAACTATACATTGAATTAATTGATCACCCCCTTTAATAACAAATAATCCTTTAGTGTCACTAGATTTCATAACAAGAGTTTATGAGATGGGTTGATAGCTTCATGCCCAACCCCTAACTTCGAAGACCAGGGTGCCTCCCTTCAATCTGCTCAATTTAGGTAAACCAGCTAGGTTCACAAATCATTATTTGTATTTCCTGTTAATTAGAACTACCCACAGTCATTCAAATTAACGTAATTTAAAAAATAAATATTGTAATTTGTTTTAAAAGATTCAAATTACGATTCATATCTCCCCATTTTTAAATTCCAATGTAACAAATCGTATTCATGTTATTAAAAATAACAAACAACATGTTTCCTGATTGCACAATTTCAAAATTAAATCTTGCATTTAAAAGTCGTGGGATTTAACAAATAAACATGTTGATTCATATTCAAACAATTTAAAAATCCACCGTTTTTATCTATCACCTACTTTATCAATATTTTTTTAAAACTAAGGAAGATCATCCAAGAGCGAGTTATTCCACAACAAATAAAAATGAAGAAAACCATGCAGGCACCTTGCAGAAACTACAGGAAAATTTAAAAATCTTTGTCTCTTTTCAACTGAAAAATTGGAGAAAAGTTTTAAAAACTTAGGATAGGAGTGAACAACATTTTTGGGTGAAGGGCCATCTGCAGAGAAGGTAGATTAACGAAGGCCCACAAGCATATTTAGTCATGTTAGCAGCAAATATGATAGTTTTTATAAAAACATTAGTGCTTTAGGCACTAAATATTTATATCAGTAAACTTATATAATATTTGCAGAAAATTAGATACTTTAAATTATTTAAACCTAAAAAAACTTATACATTTTTTTACTTCACAATGATTAATTTATCAAATATATAGATATATATATACAGTAGGGAACCGATTATCCGGAATGATCAGGACCATCGCCATTCCGGATAATTGATTTTTCCGGTTTTCTGAATCGCTACAAGAAGCCGTTTTTTTTAATTACTAAACCCAACTAAAAAAAATCTATTAGGAAATAATCTTAAAAAGAAGAAAAAACGAAGAAGTAATACAGTAATGATTATTTCTAAAATGATGGTACGGTAAACATCTTTCAGAAAAAAAAAATCCAAAAATCTTATGAGGAAAAAAAAATTATTTTTTCAAAATGGCGGGAAAATTTATCGAATTTCGTTCCGGTATTTTGGTTTTCCGATTTCCGGATAACGGGTTCTGTACTGTATATGAATATATACACATGAGGGGGATATAGATTCTAACCAAAAAGAAGCTTACAGAATGCAAGTGTAAAAAATATAAACATTTTATAGATTAATATAAATTTGAATTAAATATTTTAATTAAAGAAAATTTACAATGTTTAAACAAAAACCAAATTAAAAGAATTTCTTATTGTGTTCAGAAGTTCCCGTGAGCCGTACATCAACAGTCGGCGGGCCGCATGTGGCCCACAAGCCATAGATTGTGCACCATTAACAATTTTTTACTTGAAAAAAAATTCTTTATTATTGGGAGACATTTTATGTAAAAGAAATGTGTTGCGGGGAAATATTAAGCTTTCTACATATTTGCCCAATACCTTTAGGATCTGTAACTCTTGTACAGTGACTCAGGATCTCTTCTTCAGCAGCAATTAGTCCGGCTAAATTAACAAGTACTCCTATATATTCTTTGGTAAAAAGTTCTTCAATGTGAGGTTTCTCTCGGCTTATGATACGAAGAGTTTCCAGAAAAACAGCTTGCCCAGATTTGCCTTCATTTAACTGCTTAAACAGCTGACTTACTAATTTCTAAAAAAAAATATTAATATATGTTAAAATTTACTTGAAATATATAAAATAAAGTGTCTTTAAATGTTTCTCACCTTCTTTAGTTCCAGTCCAAGTTCTGAGAAAGTAAAAGATTGAGCATGCTAAAAATAAATTCAAAAGGAAAACAAAACTTAGTGGAAAATATAAATAATATTTAAAAACTCAAGTAGCCCGGTAGCAGGATAGCAGATGTTGTAGAGCAGGGATGGCGAACCAAGGGCACGCGTGCCATTTATGGCACGCCACATAATATTTTGGGTACGCCACCGATCACGAAGTTCACTGTGAAGCAATTTACCAATTAAATTAAAATTCACTAAAACAAACTTAAAAAAATAAAAAATTATTAACAAAAAAAATTACAATTAATGCCAAAAAACAATTAATTACCATAAAAAACAAGCTAANCCTGTTATAGAGCATCTGCAGATGATTTTTCATCTCAGTTCTCTTTTCATAAAAAAAAAATAAATAAATAAAAAATAAATGGGGGGAAATTGCTTTTTAAAACATCTATAAACTTGGCTTCCAATAAAAATTAAAAAACACTGCAAAAGTCAAAAAGTAAGAATTCTTTTTTATTTTATTTTTTAAACCTAATTTAGAAGGGAAACACGCATTTGAGGTGTACGATTTGAGTAATTCTGTTGTCAATTTTTTTTTTTTAGACAACACGAATTTCATGATTTTTAACTACTTTTTTATTTACAAAATAGGAGAATATCACCCACAATATTGGAAGAAAAAAAAATTATAATCGTTTTTTCTTATTAAACACACTGCTTTCGTTATTTAAAATGAGTTATTATTAAAAGCATCTGGCAGAAAGATATTTGTGCTAGACAGTTTTGTTGCAGGTGCCTCGAAAAAATTCTGCCACAGAGCCTAAATATAAACAACAAAAAACATTTTATGTAAAAGGTATAAGGATATTATAATTGCAAATTTTACTACATCCTACTATGTACATATAATAAATTTAATAGATGTTTCTCTATAATGAGTAATCTTTGTCTCTATGTATTGAATGCCACTATCAATGAAGACAGTGCTCCAGATTCACTCCCTGAATTCCACTACCGGGCCAAGTAATAACAAAAAACCAGAATAAACATGGATTATAAATTCATTTTATTCAAATATAAAATTTTAACGAACTATTTAATAGAAATTTTGTACTTTTTGGTTGGCCAGAAGCAAACAAAAACAACTCTTTTATTTTTTAATTTCGTTTTTTAATTTTTTTTAATTTTTGTGTGTTAAAAAAATATAGTAAAAATAAAAAATTTTAAAAGTTGGAGATCTATAATTTTTGGCGACTTTCCACTTGCTCCCAACTAACCAAACAGTACCATAAATTAAAAACGTAAAATAAACTTTTTAAAGAATATTTTTTAAATATTTTTTTTATTTTTTATTCTACTTTAAAAATATATTTTAGAGCGGTCAAAAAAAAGGAAGAAAAAAAACTCTATAAAATTTGTCACAAAACTAGGGATAAGATTTTTGTTTTGGTATCTAGTTCTAAATATTTTGCTAGTTTTGGCAACTTTCTTGCAATTAGCCCACAAAGGAAAAAAAAATATTTAAAAAACACAAAAAAAACTTTAAGGGTATAACTTTTGGGCAAACTTCTACACAATTTACTTTAAAATGTTTTTGCAAATTTAAAATCCCTTTGGGTCCTTAGCAAATTATGGTTAGCACTAACATATATTGATATGAAAATATCTTTAGAAAAAGCATCATGATAGAAATACTAGATTTTAGTTCCACGAAAAATTGTAATTTGAGGATTTCCGGATCATAATTTGTGGCTGAATATTTGTGGCTACATCGCATTGTACTAAAAGTGCGTTCAATAGTGCATGTATTAGCTGGAAGAGTTAGGCCGATTTTGATTGACTCCGCTACAGCTGGATAAAATGGTCATTTAATAAAATTAAATTTCATTTAATAAAATTAAATTTCATTTAATAAAATATAAATAATATTTTATTTTCTACTAGTTATTTAGTTTAACAAAGAGGTATTACACAAACTGACTTCTCACAACTGTAAAACTTCATCAACACAATAAATACCAATGAANTTTTAAATTTCATTTAATAAAATATAAATAATATCATATTTTCTACTAGTTATTTAGTTTAACAAAGAAGTATTACACAAACTGACTTCTCACAACTGTAAAACTTCATTAACACAATAAATACCAATGATAAGCGTGCGCAAACATGTTAGTATACGAAACTACTGTTTGTAGTTATTTGAGTTTCAAAGTCAATAGCCATGCAAACGCCATCAATACAGTTTCTCGTGGCAAAATTTGCAAGCACAAAAAATTTGTACTTTTTTTTAAATATCCTGTTAACAATGAAGAAATATATCTTGAAAAAAAATTAATTGATGAAAGTACATACAATAACAAAACAAAATTTAATAACAGAATATTAAGAAAAAAATTGGGGGGCTAGTTTGTTAGAAAAGTTGCACCCCCTTTTATATTATTCTGCTGGCGCCCTTGTCCCCATCCCAAACATTTAACGAATATAAAGACTAAAATAAATTACAGAGTCTTCTATTCCCATTAAAATACCTAATTTAAAAAAAAAAATTCTTAAAATCAGATCTGATTAATTCCTGGAAAGAGGTCCTAAAATCTGGAAAGAAAATATTCCCTGTACATATTATACACAATATATTAAGAGGCACACAGCGCTCTTGTGTGAACTATATTAGGTTAACTATACTAGTTTTAATAGCTGGAAAAACTTAAAGAAATTAGGAAGAGTCATCCCTAAATATCCCATAGATTACGCTTTGAGTGGTCGCAACTTTTTAAAAGACAAAAATAAGAAATAAAATTTTCTGTATTTTCCCAGTTTGCAGGGAAAATTTAAAATTCCCTGTATTTTTCCTATTATTTAAGGTGATTTTTTAAGTTCCCTGTACTTTCCAGGTCTTCCCTGTTGAGTGAAAACCCTGTCTATGCAAAAATAATCTACAAGTCTCAGTGACTTCTGGGCAGTGGCTGGAAAAGAAACCTTAAAAAAAATCACTGAAGGAGACCAATTCGAAGGGGGGCGTAATTGAACTTGAAGAGTATGAAAATAATCACATTTTCATTATATCACAGTTAGTTTCGTTATATTATAATTTTTGTGTAATATATAATTAAAAGTTTTCACACTTTTTACATTCATACTTGTTTACTTTCTAAAAACAGTGCTAAATTTTAGAAAATAAATTATCGAATTTAGCTTATTGCAAACATCTTTAATGAATTTGATACAACCAACAAATTAGTAACTAAATGACAAGAGGCCATTCAAACCTTCGTGTTAAAATCGGCCAAAATTTCAGAAACTTTATCCGTAGACAGAGATTCAAAATTATTCAAAAGGTTTTCATCCATATCATGAAATACGTGAATTAGTTTCCGACGATAAGTTTCTAATTTATTAAATAAAATTCAGTAAGTAAACTGTTTCGGCATAAAAATACTGAAAACGTTAACGGTCGCTTATTTCTTCATTTACAGTCTCCATAATCATATCTCAAAACGGTAACTGCAAGATATTTCAATTGCATTTCTAAAGAGTTACTCTTACTGCAAACGAAAGTTCAAAAGCACGCGATACGCTTATCATGCGATTCGTGCATGCGTGAGCCTTTACCTCAAAATTTTCAGTGGAAATCTTTTTAATGCAACGAGGATGGTATCTAAAGAAGAAGGAGGAAATAAAAAGATGTCCATTTTTAATATTTTCAGACAAATTGCAACTTGTTTATTTACAAATAGTCAGCAACGATGCACGAACACCACATAGTACAAATTGATACTGCGCGCTAACTTCCCCCTTTACAAGCGAAAGGTAAAAAAGCAAAAAGTTCCATGCTAAAATTAACAGTTGAAAACTTCATAATACTCGTCTGAAAGTAATCTAATCTAAAATTTAAAAAAAAAATTATTTAATGTTCATATATTAATTTATTTTACGTGTGCTAAACAAACGCAGAATATTATGTGATATTCCAGAACCGCTTAGCAATGAAAACAAGTTAGGCAGAAATGGTTCTGTACGTAATATTAGCTATACTTTAAAAAAAAAGTTTTTACCGTTCATATCCTAGAAAGCTTGTAATCTTACGGAAACCTTGTGACTGAATTTTCTTTTTATTGTCTCGTAAATATTTAAGGTGGAAGAAGTGATGAGATTCAGTCGGTATACCGACAGACCGGCACTTTGATTCTTAACATTTCTAAAAATTACGGCGTAATTAAAATAACCAGCCACTATTGATTTAAAACATTAAATTTCGGCAGGAGTTCGATTCCTAGCTAACAGAAATAAGTGTATTTCGATTTTTATCATCTTGGAGTATTCAATAAATTTCAGTAATTTTTCTAGAAATAATTTTTGACTGCATTAAAAGCGAAAAGACAACTAAATTGAGTGGGAATTTTCTTTTAAAAACTCTAAATCATATTCGGAATCGGTTGACGGACGTACGAAGCAAAGGACACAAAAACAATTCCAGTATTTTTCTGAAAAATATTAGAGATTAATAGTCGTTGAACGCAAATCGGGATGTGATTACTGTCGCAAATATCCCAAATAAATGCAACGAAAGTTAACGGTATTCATGCTTCTAGAAAATAAGAAAATAAAATCTTCAAAAAATGCTTTAAAAAACACGAAGAAAAAAAGGCATTTTTAAAAAGGAAGTGAGTAAATTTCAAGCAATTTATCCGCATAACTTTGAACAGTTAAACATTAATCCGATATGCAAAGTTGATCACAAAATTAAGGGAAAATGCAGACTATAGAATTAATATGTTTAATATTTAATACTGATTACGTTTGACGAAACGTTGTCGTCCATTCTTAGACATTTAAGATGAAATTGCGCTTCAAATAAAAAATTTTAAAAAATGGACTGAATATATAAAAATTGGTTTTTATTCAAGAAAAACAGCAACAAAAATTATGGATTTTATTACCAACAAAATAAAACATAAAATATTTGGTAAAATAACTAAGGAGGATTTAAAAATGTGCATTATTTTTGATAAGGTTGCAACAGTTCCAAATTACACCTTTCATTCTTATTGAATTGAGCAAAAACAAGATTCTAAATCAATTTTTAAAACTCTAATGTGGACTTTAAACAGCATAGAATTTGATAACAGTAGATAACGAAATATTATAATTGCATTTTGTTCTGATGGAGCCAATGTAATGTTGGCAAAAAAATCTGGTATTGGTGCTAGAATTTGGAATAGTTTTCCAATCATTATAGTCAAGCATTCCCATAGTTTGGAATTTAAATCATCACTTTTTCCTTGTTTCAGATTATTCAATCAAAGAAATTAAATAAAGTTAATCACTTTAAATTTTTTATTAATACAATATTAGCTATTTTTCATAATCAAACAAATATCAGATTGAATTTGTCAAGACCATATAGCAGCTTTGTAATGAAATTTAGACTCTTAATTTTTAAGTCACAATAACAGTATGCAGATTAAAAATCAACAGCTGCAATTCGACGCGCTGATCAATATCTGTAGTTTTGCTTCAAATCAAATGAAAAATTCTCCGGCATGCAGAAACGCCAAGAAAATAAAAACTTTCTAAAAGATCCTAACTAATGATGGAGACTAACAGTAGCGTGCCAATTTTTTTTTTTTTTCGACTAGAGGGAACGAAAATGATCATACATTTTGGTCGTTTTACTAATTTAAAATCAATTTTACTATTTTAAAATTATTATTAAAAATCGTTCATTTAAAATAGTTATTTCATCACATTTACATGCGTTATAGTTGCATAAATTATTTCCGGTGAGTAAGACGATCATTCGATATATCAAAATAGTTAATAAAAATTATTAATGAATCGGAAACAATTTAAAAAGAAAAATTAAACGTGAGAAATGTTAACTAATGAATTTTATAACTTAATTCCTTTAAAATTTTTAATATTGAGCAATACATTTTATTGATACACTGTGATTATAAATGACATAAAATGGTTTTTGCTCCTCAAAAACAATTTATTTAAGCATAATTTGTGATTTATATTTTGATCTGGGGCATAATTTTCGTTTCAAATTTTTATTCAGGCATAAACTGTAAAAAAGATTATTTATTTATCTATTTATTTATTTAATAACCGTCGTTGAACAGCCGACCCAATATTTGGGTTTACGACTAGTAATGATCAACTCCGTAACCTTGTGATTTTGAACCCAACCCAGAAGACAAGGGAACTCCTGGATCAAGTATTGGGAGAAATTTGCCTTCGTGGAGGACTTTTTTTTTGTTGGAACTAATCTGCATTTGCGTTACATGCATAGGAAGACCACGAGAACCTCCCACTGTTAGCCTGACGGCAAGGGGACTATAACCCATGATCATGATCCGTTTACCACTGAGGATATTTCACGTCAGCACTGTGGTCGGTGCAAGCCTGATGCGGAATTCGCATGGACCAGCCATCGCCGGGATCGAACACCGGTTCACCCTCAGCCATCTCGGCTCAGGGGATAGAACGGGAAAAGGTTTCTCAAAATTGAGAAAAATGTGTCAAAATAGTTCAGAAACTAATATTAGTCGAATTTGAAACAAATCTTGCTTAAAACTGCAACAGCCTAAATTTTTATTTAAGTAAAATGCATAAATCTCAATAATGATGTAGAGGGAGATGTTCGCTGTTCCTTGGTAGGATTCGAACCAAGGAACGCAAGGTTTGTAGTAGGATGTTCTAACAACCATAGTTGTGCATCCGAGCACAGGGTGAGCCATAATTTCAATGGTACAAATAGGTTGCAATTTGAAAAATATGCTCCTAATTTCATGTCAAATAGTCAGGAGATCGTTGATTTTAATTTAATTTTTTTACTTATTTACCTATATAAAACTTTTAAGCAAATGAAATGATGCATCACGGGAAGACGAAAGTTCTCGAGATATAGCGAAATACGCAAAAAGTGAAATTATCACAAAGGGCTTTATAGACCGTTTGTCTGACTAAACTAATCGGACCATTTTTTCTCTTCGGATTGTGATTATCCCCATACGCCAGAGCTTGGCTATGAATTTTTGTTTATATCCCTGAAATAAACAATTATTGCGATTAAAATTTCAGTTGAGCTTTCTCAAAATTGTCTGGAAGCCGCATGGACAAGTGGAACTTAGTCATTTCATTTTAAGAGATCCAATCAGAGCCGGATTATACCTTTCGTAGGCCCTAGGTATAGCCGTTTTTGGGCCCTCCCCTCCTTCCCCACTCCTCCCCCCTTTGTCAGAATCTGAGATTAAACTAAAAGCGCAAAATTTGGTGAAAATTTACTCATCGGATTTAGAGCAAAACTTTGTAGATGAATTTTTACTATTTTCAAATTTGTATGAACATAAATCTGCACAAGAAATGTTGAAGGCTGAAATTAAAGATAAACCTGTGAATGCTTTTCCTAACTTTCACATTGCATTATGAATATATTTCTCGATTCTTGGATCAAATGCTGAAGGAGAAAGATCTTTCTCCAGATTAAAATTGATAAAAAATTATTTGCGTTCAACAATGAATCAAGATCGTTCGGCATCGCTCGCACTTATGTCTATTGATTACGACATTTTGCGTAGTTTGGAATTCGACAGTATAATACAAGATTTCATTGAATCCAAAAATCGCAAAAAAGTAATATATTAGATCATAAGATTCTGCAAAATAATTTATTACCGAAAAATATTATATTTTTATTTGTATCTTCATAATTTTGTGCAAAATACACCTGTTGTTTTTAAAGCTAAATTATTTTTGTCAACAAATTTTTTTCTCCCAAGTTTTTCGTAGGCCCCTGAATTTCGTAGGCCCTAGGCACGTGCCTAGTGTGCCTATAGGTTAATCCGGCCCTGGATCCAATAATTTAATTATTAGAAGAAACATTTACACTAATTGAATTAATTATAAAATCGACATTCATATAAGATGGCTCTTAATTCAAACTTGCCCACGACCTTTATTTCTTTTCCCTCAGTCGAAATTTTATTATAACCGATCAATATTGTTTCTTTTGGTTGTTGATTAATATCGCTTAATAATTTTTTTAATAAATAACTGGTCTTCCGAACAAAGCTTAGAACATTCCAAAAAATACACTAAAATTAATTTTTAATGGTTAATTGGGCTAAATATTAAAATATTGTTATTTTACCCCAACTAAACAAAACAAAATAAATAATAACTAAAGAATTTTTTAAAACTGGATGAGATGAATTTGAAAACAATTATTTTATGAGTTCCATTGATATATTGTCGATTAAAGAAAAAAATATAATTCAAAAGAAACTAATAAGAATCAGTACTATACGGTATATTGAATGGGCCGAAAAATATAACATCAAAAAAAAGGTTTAATATAGAATTAAGACTGTATATCTCTGTCTTTATACAATATGGAGAAGCAATGACTCAATGGTTAAGGCACTGAACTGTCATTGTGAAGAGCTGGGGTTCAATCCAGCTTCAGATCGATGGGTACAACTTATCTGGGAAGTAAAGGCGGCCTGCGCGCAGTGCTGACCACATTGCTACAATCATGGCGTTGGTCTCGAAATTGCATAGCCTTCACCTCTATGACCCCCTGGTTCAATGGAAACAATAAATTCAAAATAAAACGAATAACGTTATTTTAAAAAAGTCATAAATAAAGTATTAGTCAACAAGGTAGGGAAAAGTGGGACTAGTTTGGACACTTTTTTACAAATTTGTCAGAAAAACATATTTAATATAATTTTTAACTCATGAAGATTTTTTTAAGAGCAATTGGAATGAATACATGCATTCTGGTACGCATCTGAAATAACAAAGTTGTTTAGTTTTTCCATAATAAATTTTTTAAATAAAGCTGTTTTTGTCTGCATTAGGCTAGTGTGGGCAAACTTAATAATTTATTCAACAGTCATTCATTACTATTCAGAAAAAATATGCCTAAAGCCAAATAGAAATCAATCATTTACGTTCTATTGGAGTATAAATATTGACATATTAAATTAAAATTCTGATTTGTCATAGAGCATTTCACTATGCTAAAAAGGACATTTTGAAAGCAAATAAATACGCTAAAAAATCAGCACTCAATTTTATTTTATTTGAAAGCACAGAACCGATTTTAAGTTAAATCAATTTTAAAATCTATAGTTTTTAACTCGATGGTGAAATAGTCCGAATGGATAACGTACATTGTTTGGCGATAATTTACTTAACTGGAGCAATGAAAACAACTTGCAAAAAACCATTTGCTGATAGTCTGTTTTAGTTTAATGTATGTCAAAAATTCTTCATAAGTTCATTTATATTTAGTTATATTCTTTTATAAAAAGAATCTGACTTAATATGCATAAAGGTTTTTTTTAATTGGTTTATTTTACATGATAAAGAGAGAGTAAATGTGCAACGGTTCTACATAATGTGGTTATCATATAAGAAAAAAAAAGAAATGGTAAATTTAAAAAAAAAAAAAATTACCAATTTAACTTGACTTTATTTTCTTGAATGTCTCAATTTCAGAAGGGGTGAAGCCCCTTATTTGCCCTCTCAATTAAATTTCCAAAGAAAATAAGGTTCTCAATTTCAAAAATAAGTTGAAATTTTTTTTTCTTTCTGAAATTACCAATTTAATTAGATTGTATTTTCATGAATGTCTAGATCTCAGAAGGGACGAAGCACATTATTCACTCATTTACTTTAATTTCAGAGGAAAATTAAGTATTCTACTTGAAAAATCGCTTTAAAGTTGAAAAAAAAAAGAAAAAAGAGTTCTTTATTTTTTTTATTTCTAATTTTACTAATTGAACTTGATTTGATTTTTGTGAATGTCTAAATGTCCAAAGGGGAGAAACACATTATTCGCCCTTCAATTAAATTTCACAAGGAAATAGTTTTTTTCTTTTTTTGAAAATGGCCTCAAAATTAAAAAAAAAAAGTTCTTGTTTTCTAAATTGTCAATTTTACATCACTTTATTTTTACGAAAGTCTAAATTTCGGAAGAGCGCTTCGAAGCACATTATTCGCATTTTATTCACCCGAAGCCTATTATTCGCCCCTTCACTTGAATTTCAAAAAACAAACTTCAAAACTTAAAAAAAAAAAATTATTTTTCTAAAATTTTACTTATTTGCAGTTTCTTTTTAATCGTAATTTACTTGACTTTATTTTCACGAATTTTCAGTTGGAGCGCAACATATTATCCGCCCCCTCACTTAAATTTTAGAAGGGGCGACTGCCCTCTCTAAGCTCCCCCCCCCCGTAGGCACGCCACTGCTTGTTCCTAATATTAATGATACTGTTCGAATAAATCCTTTCTGCTTTCCCTACGGCCGCAGCCTCAGAAGATCGAACATTTTCATTCTCTGAAAGTTAGAAAAGTTTTTTTAAAAAATATGGAGAAGAGAGAAACAGATGTCGTAAAATTAGTAACTAAGTAATAAATTTTTCTCTTCAATCAAGACGAATTATTAAATTCTAAAGAATAATACAAATATAAAAACCTAAAAGATTTTATTTCTTGTTTAGAGTATTTTCTGTATTATTAATCTCAGTACTAAGAAGTGCAAACGGCACATTTTTCTCTCTTGTTGTATGAATATTTTTCAAATATTTTTATGAATATCACTTTAAAAATAAAACTTTGGCAAATGTAATTTACTTTATTATTTTCACAATAGATGGCGGTATTTGTTCTTTATTAATTTCGTTCAACTTATTTCTTATTGTTTCTCTACCTATTTGTTATAATAATATTCGAAACTAAAAATTTCTTCTACGGTATATAGCTACATTCAAGGGATACAGCAATAGTTCAATATTATATCTCTTGGAATTTTTAAAAAAATAAATATATATATTACTGTAAAAATAATAATTATGTCACCCCAAAGAGAAACTGTGATGTGCTCCTGTACATTTGAATATTTATTGCATTAAAAGCCATTAGAACAGACTTACTTAAGGTTTTGAAATTATTTAAAAGAAAAATCGATTTCAATGAAGCATTAGAACAATAGATATTAACTTAATTAGAATGTCAACATCATATTAGAAAAAAAAATTAATATTGATAAAACTTATTTATTTTATTTGATTTAAATTGATTTTGTTCAATTAAAAAAATTTCCGAAATGTAACATTCTATTATTAAATTACAGGAGGGTGTTAACTATAACTCTACATAATAATTTAGTAAAAATGTATTTCACTTAAAAAATTTAATGAAGTAGAATGGAGTATAAGAATACATTGAGTAGTTTTATAATGGTCTATGACTCATGATTTTAGACACAAAGTAGACTCGGAGTAGAAATAGTTTTGGTTAAGAAAAAAAAAATGTGCCAAGAAATGAAATAACTTAGTTTTCAATGTAGTTTTTGTGATGTAGTGGCTGCGATAAATATGATCATAACTGGAGTTTCATCAACGACAACTTTAATATCGCCAAGCTTTAGGAAAACATCGATGAGACATAATCATTTTACTTTCGTTTATTGCGCCACCACAAACTCTAAGTAAATAGTTCTCCTTATTTTCAAACTTAAAATAGTCACATTGTATTATTGTATAATATCAAGTGTAATATTGCAAGGTAAATTTGAAAATAAAAGCTACTTTAAAATACAATTCGGAAAAATATATAAAAACGAATGTTTGTATCGCGGAAGAATACATAAAATTATTTCGCAGATGTTCCCGCTTTAGCAGTCTTAAGGATTAATGGTGGTGTTGTGTTTGGTAATCGGTGTCACCTTTGTTGTGTGTGTGTGTACATCAAATGTTTATAAGATTGTGTCGTCGAGTGTAATAAGTGATTAGAATATGGGAGCAAAGAGTCGGTAAGTGTTCTTGTGGTCGATATTTGGATAATGCCGTCATTCGACTTCTGGGAGGTGGTGGTGTGACGACGACACAGCATGGCAACGCCAGCGCACGCTCGGATGGCTTGCCCAGAACAAAAAATTTCCGATAGCGTCGAACAAGAAGGAGGGGAATCTTTAAAGAATGGAACAACACTCGAAGATTCTGATGATTCAACGGGTAATGTGCTTGTAAAAAATCGTGCCCGATCACCAGCGGCCGCCACTAATAACCCACAACACAGGGATATGGCTATGGATGGTTTTCAAGATGGAGGGAGTGCTAACAGTAGGCCTCCTGTTAACGTGGAAGGCAGCGGCGGTTTTCCCGCTTCCCTCGATAATAGGTCTCGGATTGATTACCAACAATTTAATCAAAGTTCCAGAGTGGACGTTAGTAATGAAGATTTTAGGAATTCTCAGGAACCAACGTTTAACCATGGAAGTGATATGAGCAGCTATAGTACTGGACGCTATGATCAACATGGCGGAGGCCAAAGTAGTGATATGACAACAAATTCTCCATCAAATAAAATGTATTCACAATATAATCAGCCTCAATTGAGGCCGAACTACCCCCCGGGGCCTCGTGGGCGATCCATGAGTAATTACCCCGGGGGCAATAATGCCCAGCAGCAAAGGTTTCTATCGGGCCCAACGCTTTCGCAACAAACAGGACCCACACCGACGCTCAATCAATTGCTGCAGGCTCCTAACTCTCTTCAAAGGTATCACAATAATTATGATTACAAAAATATGGACCCTAATAATCCACAATATCAGGCAACGAACAGTACTTGGGGTAGGAGTAATACTTCGTCATCTGGATATCAACAACAAATATCTTCTTCATCAATGTATAGAAATCAGGTATGTATTTCTCAATAAATATTTTTGGTTTTTAAATTGCATTTTAAAAATTTAAACACTTTCATTAAAATGCAGCTCAACTTTTGTTAGTTATCTGTGTAAAATATTCAGCTATTTCCTCAATGTTGCATTCAGATGTAAAAATTCTCTTCTAAATTCCCTGTTCCTACCGTCATTTAATTTTTGATGGCATACTCCGTTTTGTGCATTTGTTTTTATAATGTGTCATTTACTCGCTTCTAAAAGCTATTTTTCTCATATATGTAAGTGAAATTTGCCTTTTGTTCGGGTAAGAGAATTGAATTTTTATGGATGAGGTCAGAGCGAGGTCATTCGCTCTGTGGAATTCGAATATTTGATTGTTGCTATACAGTTGTATCGGCTTTCGTTTATTTATTATTGGGTTGACAGGGGGGGTGGGGGATCCACGTGTTAAAGATGTTGTGGGACTCCTGAGAGGAAATTTAAATTTTGGAGGCAAAAAGTGAACCGCCGCTGACAGCTGGGAGTTGTGGTGAATGGCGGTTTCTGATTGGTTGACCGGAGCATGGAGATCTTGAATTAATCAAATCTGTCACTGGAGGTGCTCTCTCTACCTCCCTCCTCCCCCACATTTGATTTATGTTTCGGAATTTTTATTTATTTGTTGTTTCCGATTCATTTTGAGGCATTGACAACTTGTCCGTAGGGATGCTATTTAATATGAATAAATAACAGTTATTAGATATATAAAGCTAAAAATTAATTTATTGATTGATAATTTAATATAATATTTTTAGAAATTGCCCTTTTTTTCATTTCAGTTTTAGTATTTTTATGTAACTTAACAAAAATGTTATTTTCATTTTTGAATAAATTTTTTAAATTTTATAAAGTTATGCATTTAGGATCATTAGATTTTAGAAATTTTATGTCAGGAATGAATAGAATATTCAAAATTTTTTTAAAGAGTAGGAATTATTTTCAAATTTTTTAAAAATTTTTATAGACAATTTCTTATAAATTAATTTGAGATATAATCTTATAATTTCAAATTAAAAATATGCTAAAGAATTGAAGATAGTAAGTGCGATTTGAAAGACAGGTTGGAAGCATGATTTGTATTAAAGGTTCACTACTTTTTGAATGGAATTCCCCTTTCAGGTCAGTTTGACTTTATATTTACGTATTGTAATCTGCCACACCAACTACAATCGCCGAGGCACCGAGTTGATTTTAAATAGGAAAATTAAAAAAAATAAACATGCAGATATTTGCACGGGAGTGGCTACGAGTTATCCCTTTCTGTGATGCTTTTTCTAGTTTCTCGTTTTTCTAGATTACTCTGCCTCAGATCACGGCACGAAAATCTCCCCTGGTGATGAAGGACGGTATGAATATTTAGTCACGTCGGCAAATGTGATAATTTTTTTGTAAATTTGAATGTTAAAGCACTAAACTTTGTTATCAGTTAACTTAGTAACATATGCGCAGGATATTAAATATCTTAAAGGTTTTGGGCGAATTGAAAACGTGCCTATGTATAGACATGTGAAAATAAACGAACAACCAATCACATAATGGTAAATAGAAATTGTGGTAGCCCATTGCTGATATCATTAAAAGCAGAGACAGCAAGAAAAGGTAACCAGAAACTGATTTTGTGCAAAATTTTACAATTCAAACTTGTTGCCGAACTAAGGGGCCCCAGATTCTGCCATTTAACAATCTTTAATTATTAGAATTTATTTAAAAATAAATTTTTTACCCCTTTATTAATAATTGATTTATCAAATAAAAGTATATATATATATTAGGGGAGATATTGTACCTTTTTGAGTGAAGGGCCGCTTGCACAGTAGGTAGATTAAAGTAAGGCCACACATATATTTAGTCATATTAGCGGCAAATATGATAATTTTTATGTAAATATTAGTGTTCTAAGCACTAAGTTCTTGTCTCCGTAAACTAAATAACATATTGGCCAAAAATGAAATACTCTTAATTATTTGAATTTATTTAAAAATAAAGAAACTGATACTTTTTTTTAAAAAAATTTTTCCATTTGTAAAAATCAGCTAGAAAAACATTACAATAATTTCAACAAAAAAGAAAGAGATTGAATATATGATCAAATTAGCATGAGTAAGTACGCCAATAAGTAATTATTGAAAAGTGTGATTTGAAATTCTCATGTCGTAATAAAAATCAGAATTTTTAAAACTACTTGAAAATGAGTGCAGAAACTGCATATAAAATTATTATAAGACAACTTGGATTTACAGTGCAATCGGCATAAATTAAGTGCGGCAAAAAGTAATCAATTATGTGCGATTTAAAACTCACAAGTCAAAATATAGTAATAAATGTATCTCAAATTTATAGCCTATAAGAAAATTATTAGTTGTAAGTGCCAAAATACAGTCTAAGCATCACTTGGATTTATGATGAAATTGAAAAAAAACTGTGTATGTCAAAAAGTGGTTACTTAAATAGGTGATTTATAATTTGTGTGTCTTAAAAAGATTGTAATAAAAATACGGGATTTTCAAAATTGCATGGAAAAACTTACTAAAAATTTCCTTTGAAATAAGGTGAAATTGCCACAAATTAAGCACGTCAAAAAGTGATCAGTTACATGTGCAATTTATAACTCACGTAATCAATGTAGCGGGTATTTATAAAGCACATGGAAAGTAGTAACCAAAAAAACAATTGAAACGTCACTTGGATTTATTATGAAATGTGCAAAAGAAAAGCACGACAAAAAGTGATAAATGTGGGATTTGCAACTCGCGTGTCGTAATGATATCGTGATATAAATACTACATTTTAAAAATCCCATGGTAAAAGGTAGCTCGACTTAACCCTGTCCCGCCCCCTCCCTATGAGGCTTTCAGGGAATACTGTTGACATGAAGTGCGTGCATGTGACTGCGTCAGTATAAAAGGAGAGGACACCAGGGAAAAAATACTGGATCACGAAAGATGGCAACGAAATAGGTTGATGAACTGACCAGTGATTTGTTCCTGGAAGATTGCCGAAGCTGTGGATGCAGGAGTAGATTAAAATTGCATATTAATTGTTAGCATATTCTTCTTGTAAAACAGTGTTTCCTAAACTTATAACTTTTGTCTACCCTTTCTAAATTTTTCGTAACTCTGTGTACCACTAATAAAAGAATGAATTTATTTTTTACTATAAAAAGCTGCTCAAAAGTGTAAAACCACAACTGTCTGTTGACACCATTAATAATTAACTGTTAACTCTGCAAATAATAGCCAATAAAAAAATACGGAATCGTAAATTTTTATGACTTGCCTTGTTTATAAATAAATTTTTTTGAAATTTTCGTTTGTTGCAAGATATTTCGCATAAGTGCTCGTACCCCCACTAAACTGCTCCCGTACCCCTGGGGGTATGCGTACCACACTTTGGGAAACACTGTTGTAAAACAAAGGAGGTCTGGGTGCTGCATGCATGCAGAACTGCATCTGACCAGAAGGCTGCAGAAGTTGATTATAAAAATCAAATGTACAAACTAGCATAAATTAAGTCAGATTTTGATTTAAAAAAAAACATGAAATAAAATACTAATTTAAAACAATGTTGACAATATCAAAGAGACAGTGGAATACAAAATAAAATATAAACAAGATAAGAGATGAGAAAACAGATGATTGCCTTTACAAGTGTGCAGCATAATATTGAGGAAAAACAAAAAGTCTGTTCAAAGATCACATTTCAGTAGGAACCAATTGTAAAATAGTCAATAGTTAAGTTTTTGCCAGAGACAAGTCAGTTTCATGTTATTGAAGAGCAAAAGTCTACCGATTCAACTTTTACCTATTTCACTGTTTCATGTATCACCGGCACATTGTTTCCTAAAGGAAAGTCACATAGATTCTGTTCTTTGCATTTACGCAGCATTTATAATCAGCTGTGAATCAAGGAAATCCCAGTGAGGAGAATCTTCCCAATGCAGGGTTGCCATTCAACAGGCAAAACCTAAGGAGTACAGGGAATTTAAAAATAACAGGAAAAATTGCAGGGAATTTTGATTTCATTTCTTTACGAACTAGGAAGATACAGGGAATTTTGTTTCTATTTTAAAAAATGGTGACCACTTAAAGCGTAATCTAAGGGATTTTTAACCATGATATTTCAGCTATACTGAACTATTTCATTTACTATAGCATAATTTAAGTATGTTCAGCTTTTTTTTCCCAGCAATTAAAACTAATAAGTATATTTATCCCAATATAGCTCGCACAAGAGCACAGTAATTGTTGTTTCCTCTTAATATATTGTGTATAATATGTACAGGGGAAAGACAGGGAATTTATTCTCCAGATTTGAGTGGCAACCCTCCAATGGCATCGTGAAAAAGATTCCAATGATGCCGATTGGGGACAGATGACTTTCAAACGAATGAATTGCAAAAGTGACCACTAGTGTAGGATGAGTTAAGGTCAAATCCTCATCAATGCTTTTTCCAAAAAGTCTGTTAAATATATCCTTAATGCCTTTGTTTATTTTCTTTCGGTTTCAGCTTTGTTTAATAGTATCAAAATTGAAGTGTTTCGTGAAAAACATAATTCTTAAATCATTATGAACCAGGCAGGTAGAAAGTATGTGTTCAATATCTTCATAACTGTTGCAAACTTTACAGTTCGGGTCTTTCCAGAGCATTTTGGACTGATAACTACCATGGGCCCCATGGTTAATTATAATTTGATATAGAAGCTGGAGTAAATTTTTCAATTACTGACTTTTGGTATAAATTGGTAAGTGTGACAACACCCTTTGTATAATTCTTATCCCATCTTTGCTGCCATGTTGAAAGGTTATTTATTCTTCATAAGTTCTGTTCTTGTTGTCTGTTTTGATGGTATGTCATATAAATCTATTGTTAATTTTTGACATGCAAATTTTGCCTGCCTGTTAGCTTCCTCATTGTTCTCATATTCTTTGTAAGCTTTAATCTTACTGGAATTTAGTAATATTGTTGTAAATATTCT